GGGGGTAGATTTCACTTTATTACACATTTCTACTGAAGCTTTTGTTTTCAAAATTTTTAAATCAGAGAGAATTAATCTTTAGGTATTTCTTCTTTTGATGCTCAAGAACTTTACAACCTACTATTGAGACTTGGCTTTTGACTTGGATCCAAGAAGATGCACTGATCTTCGAAGGCAGCCGGGACACCTCTTTAACTGCTAGTAGATGTACTTTGTTTTAACAGCTCCTGGTGGCAATGTGAGTGTTTGGGCATTGAAATATGCACCAGCCTTGCCCTGGTGCCATCCCTTAGCACTCAGGGGGCTAGTGTGAAAGTAAATACAGAGTTTCTAGTGTGGATGTAATTCCCTTCCATCGACCTTGGCCATGTCCTTTTAAGTTCCTCATAAAAATTGTGTGCTAGTGCAGAGAATACCCTGAAACGATCTGTAGGGAACTGATTGAATGAACCAAGTATTCTAGGCCAGGCTGAAATTTTTCACTCTTTGACGTTGGAGCGGAGCATAATGCTGTGCAGGTTAATAGATCAGTGAAAGCTGTTTTGTCAGCTCATAAAAAGGTGAGAGGACTAAATTTTTTAAATAAATAGTTTTGCTGAGCAAACAATATGTGTGGTTATTCAGAACTTGGGAAATACGTGATTTTAGACTTGTGTCAGGCTCCAGATCCTGATGTGGTGGTTGAGCCTTCAAAACGAAAAGAATGAAGCACCTTCGGAATATTGTTGACATGCTGCTATGAAAGCACATGGCATTTAATTCATTACAGCACTTTTCAGATAACATGTACAGTTGTAGCATTAACCTCTGGGCATTTTTGTATTATTGAGGGCAGTTTATCTGGGAGGACTGATTTTGCTGGGCGGGCGGGGACAGAGGTTTGGAGAGGAGTGGGCTGAACAGACTCAGCGGCAGGCGTGTGTTCTATGCTGAGACCAGCACAGGTGGTCGAAGACCCCGCCATCCTGGCCCTGAGCTGCAAGTGCCAGTGGTACACTTCACATCTTCAAAAGCCTCAATCGCATTTGAATACTTTTCCAGATGTATTTTTGATCTTTCAAAAAGCATGCCCCTTGAAAACAATCACCAGCCTACAGACTTTCAAAATAATAATTTGAACTTTTCCTTGCCCACTGTTCCCTGGTTCCTTCCATTGTCCCCTTCTCTGGTTTCTGGCCCGTTCTGTGAATGGGCGCCGCAGCCCCTCTGGGCCCCACTGGCATGGGGTGGGGCGGGGGGTGGCGGGGCTGGTGTTGAGTAGCCCTGCTTTTGGGCAGCAGAGCTCAGTGTTGTCTTTAGCATTTGAAAGCTTTGGAAATATGAGAGTTGCTCTCCTAATGAAAGGTAAGCGCAGTAGTTGTTATCACATTCAATGTTTTGGTCAGTTTAGCGGTTGCTTAGTAACTCAAGTTAAACCAACTGCAAGATGGAAAAACTTGAAATTCATTTCCAGGGATTGCCTCAGACTGCTGAGAAGGCATCTTCCTTTTTAATTGTAAGTGATTCGTTATAAGTGACTTGAAACCTTTTGGAAATGGTGCATTATTTTCTGGATATTAAGCATACTAATGAGTATCTGAAACCATCCACTGTCTAAGGAGACCTCAAGCCCACCCAGATGCCCTAAGTCTGGCAAAATCTGGACACCACTTCCCAGGCCCCACGGGTCCCAGCCTTGCTGATCCAGCTTCTAGGTGAAACCAGGCCCCTGGGAGCTCCTCTCTTATACAGCCTTGGCTTGTGTCTGACCCTGTACCTGCCCTTTGGCCAATGGCAGAGCCAGGCAAGGATTGAAGAGTGGATAAAAACAGGCAAGAATGGGCCAGTGCCCCACCCCCCACAGGCAGCCATACCTCCACCCCTGATCTCTCGACCCACAGGATGGGGGACTCCAGAGAACTGATGATGAGGCTCTGGCCAGAAGATCTTCCTGGGGTCATCCCCTCCCTCCTCTTTCTTCCTTCATTCAGCAAAATACATTGAACACCTGCCATGTGACTTTCTTCTTCACTTCATCCCAAGAGACACACAGCAGGGCCTGCCTCTCTGTCCTCCCTCATATTCACTGCGAGAAAGTCGCTGACGCCCCCAAGGAAAAACAGGCCCCAGAAAAGAACATCCCTCTGGAAGATAGACACCTGCTCCACACGCAACAGTTGATGTGATCTGACACCAAACAGATGGGTACAGAGGAAGCGTGAGAAATAGACTCAGAAAAAGAAGGGAGGATAACGGCAGTGTAAAGCAAAAATAAGGGATAACTTTTTTTTAAATGAATAAAGTAGAACAGGTATGAAAAGCAGAATAGCTGAGCTAAGGGACAGAAGAAAAGGTAAATTGCAGAATGAATGCAGCTGCAGCTGAGTCACACGGAAGAACCGTCCAGAACACAGCAAGAAAGGATAAAGAAATGCTGAACGATGTGTAGCACAGAAGTAGATGTGCAGACGATATCCAAATAATAGAGTTCCAAACAGAGCAGAAGACATATTCGAAGGACAAAGAGAAATTCTCCAGAGTTACAGGAAGATGAAAGGGCCCGCCGAGGCCCAAACAGGAGGGATCAGGAGAGCCCCTCCCCAAGGCCCACGCTCGGGAGCTCTGCCCACTCAGCCCTGCCGTTGCCCCCTCCAGCTGCCAGGTCCCGCCGCCAGCTCCCCTGGTCTCGAGAGGGAAGCGAGATGCCACCTATAAATCTTATTTTAGGTATTCAGCAGCTAAGCATTTCCATCCTTCTCTTGTAAATATGCAGTGCTGGCAAGGTCTGCAGGAGCCACGTCTGTATGTGCCCGTCCCACAGCCCCTGCCCAAGGCCAGGAGCTCGGGGGCGTCAGAAACATTCATGGGATGAGAGCGGATGAATGACTGATGCCACTGAGGGGGAGGTTTGCTGTGTATATGTCTGGAGTTTGTAAATATATAGGTATGACTGTTTGATTAAAGTTCAAAACTGTGTTTAAAAGTTGTGACTTGCCTTTAGAAAAAGTTTGTTCACTTTTTATTTCATCTCGTAACCAGTGAGGTTTGCGCTGCACCAGCAGCTTGTCAAGATAGCAGCTTTCTGTACAGACTGTCAGTCAGGCGTCCTTTCCTGTCGTGTTTCAGACCCCTAATACCTTTTATGACTTTTTTTATCTTTTGTCGTCATTAGACTGTCTTCTCTTTGTTCAGCATTTTTTCTGAGATCTTGGAGGTTTCCGTTTCAGATGATGCGGTGAGATGTTTAGTAATTCAAGCTGCCCCCGGCCTTCCCCCCTGCACTCAGCATTGCACTGCAGAGGCCCTGCTGGGGGGTGTGTCTTCTAGAGACACTGCCTTCTTCAGGAAGCCATCCTAAAAATAACCTCATTTAACTGGGCCATTTTATGAGTTGTTTCAGACTTGTCTCAGCCCAGTCTGAAGGCAGGATACTATTTCAGACAGATACAATGAGCCTTGAACCTGATCACAAGGCATCTGTTACCCCATTCGGGCTGCTGGGAGTTGATAGGATTGCTTCCAGTCGCACTGTGCAGTTAAGGCTAGAAAAGCCTTGGGTACAGAAGATGGCAAAAAACAGCCACCTGGAGCCTGAATATAGTTTGTATAACTCTCGGTATTGAGGGTAATATCAGAGAAGCAGGTTTGGGGGGCAAAAGTCTGGGTGCCTCTGGCTGTCCCAGGGAATAGACTGACCCCTCACTGGCAAGACAGGCTGCAATCAGGACTCTGGCCTCCAGCCTGATGCCAAGCCCTGTGCAGCCACCAGGGATGGGAGCAAAGGGGACATACAGAGGGGAGGAGGGCAGGGAGGGAACTGGGCTATGCTGCTCCCTTAGATAGAGCCACTGGGCAGATTTGGGAAAGGCTGGGGAGGGGGTGGAAGTAGGAGATTAGGTTCCCCGGGGCGGGGGCGGGGGGAGGGGTGTAATCCAGGCAGATAGCACAGGTCAAGGCTGTTTAGGGGCCCACAGTGGTGGGACTTGTTGGAGCACAGGACCATTGGATTGGGTGGTGGGCTGAGGTGGGAGGTGACAAGAGACTCCATGGAGAAAGGCTAAATGCGTGGCACCAAGGGGTAGGACTGAGCCCTGTGGGCAGTAGAGATTCAGGCCCACACAGAATGCAGCATCAGAAGGCCCCAGCAGGAGGGGGCCCTGAACCCCACTGTGGATCTGTGGCTGTAACATTCCATTCTGTCCTCCATGGGTGTGCGAAACCTTCCTTGGTTGCAGCCAGTCTTGGCGTCAGCCCCCTGACAGGGGTGCCGTCATCAGAGCCTGTCCTAACAGAAGTTTGGACCAGTGGCTTGCCCGGGTATCCAGTCCTACCCTCCCATAGACTTTGGAAGTTAACCACGCTCTTCTCAGTAGGATTCTCAGCATTATTCTCTCTCTCATGATGTTGTATGTTGGAACCACATTATTACCTTCAAATTACTCAAGGACAAGCTTTCAAAATTGAAAATAAAAGCACCTGGAAACTGCCTGTGTGTGAGCAGGCCAGATGATGATGGGGACCCAGTGGTTTACAGAGCAGACTGCAGTGCCCTCTGACCTGGGTTTCCATCCTCCCTCCACCTTCTCATGGTCTCCTCGACCCTAGCAAACTTTTGCTCGTCCTTCAAAGCCTAGTTCACACGTGACCTCCTCTGAAGCCTTTCCAGATCCCCTCTCCCAAGGAGAATTCACCTGTCCCTCCTGTTTTTCCAGAGTATTCTGTTCAGAGCTCTATTCAGTCTCTTGGCAGAACACTGTATTTTATCTCTTTATGGTTCTCTGTCACTGACAACACAGGGAGCACCACAAGGGCAGGTGCTTTGTACGCCCTTCCGCAGTGCAAGCCCATCCCCGCTCAGCCGGCAGCAGTGCCCCTCACAGCTGTGCACGGCTCCTCTCCCCCGAACCGGGGACTCTGCCTGGAATATGCACCTACGGGCCACTCTGCCGAGCTCAGAGTCATGGGCACCCCCGAGCCCGTCTCACTATTGACTAACGCACTCTCTTCCTCTCGCCTCCTAGGGCCGATGAAATCGAAATGATCATGACGGACCTTGAAAGAGCAAACCAGGTAGGATGTTTGATAGCTTCAGGCATAAAATTGCAATAGTGTAGTCATTTGTAATCTTAGAAAATGCTTCTCTCTACGTTGGAAGGCCAGTTATTCTCATATTTTTACATACAGCCATCAATGGTGATACCTTTCCTGATGTCATAAGAAGTGCATGAAAAGTCACAGGCAAACTCTTGGATGCGGCCCTAGCATCCCCTGGTGAACGTTCACTGCAAAGTGACCGCCCCTTGTTCTTTTTCTTCATTCACATCCTCAACACCCACCTCTGTTCATGTGGCAGCTGTCACACTGTGGAGCTCACACCTGTGGGTTATGCTGTAGAGAAGCCTGTCACCCCCTTCCACTGGGTTGTAGCCACTTGTCTGGAGAGGGCCTCCAGCTGACAGCCTCCCCTTGGCCGGCACTTAGTTGGCACTAGTGCCTTGTGGGAAGCACCCCACATGGTGTCTGACATGAAGTAGGCCCACACTATTGAGTGGCTCCAAACACTCAGCTGCCTAAAAAATTTGGCCGCCTCGTAGAACCTCTTCCTTCCCCAAGGACTCTGTAGAACACTAAAACATTTTGCTTCAGCAAACAGTACTGCTGTTTTGGAAAGAAAGAGGTCTCCCTATTTATTTTCTCTGTGGGGAGAAGCAGCCAGAGCCGTGATGCCTCTCAGCCCCAAAAGGCCACAGGCAATGGCCTCGCCCACTCAATTTTAGGGCAGCCACAAGCACAGGAGAGCTGAGCGGTGTGCCTCTGTGGCCCAGGTGAGCCCAGCCCCCCGCAGGATGAAAGTCCTTCCTGGGTCTGTGGTCTCCACTTCCCCCTTTGGGAAGTTCCACGGGGTGCCCACCCCTTGGCTGAATTGCTTACCCAGAGGTTGGCAAATGCAGAAAGAGTGTAGTTATTCTTTGACCAACAAAACCATTCTCAAGTCTATTGGAATGTGAAAGTCAGTTTATGCATAAGAATGGCCCCAGGAGATGTGTGGATTTCCTTTTTTCTTTAAGAAGAACTTTGTGGGTTCTATGTCGCGTGACCAGACTCACCCCTGAGGATCCTGGGCCTGGCCCATGCAAGAGGCCAGGAGAGATGCATGGAGTGAACCCCCTGAGACAGCAGCTTCACACAATAGTTATCCTGGCAGTAGGAGAAAGAGCTGCCAATTCTTGAGTAACTAACTTTGTGCCCAGCTCTGTTCTAAGCACCTCACATGAACAGGGTCACTTAAACCTCACCGCAGACCACTGAGGTCAGTGCTGTTATGGCCCCACTGTACAGATGCGGAAACTGAGGTGCGAGGCTGGTCCTTGTGGGACCAGGACTGGAGCCTGTGCTGTCACTAGCACACTGGGGAGCAGGCACAGAACAAGGGCCGCCTTGGCCTTTCTTTCGGACCGTCTTGTTTCCTAGCTGCACTCATCCACACAGCTCCCTGCTGTAAAAGCACTGCTTCTGCTTCACCTCACAAAGGTGCTGAAATACTTATTCACCTTTACTTGCTAATTTACTTTGGGTCTTTGTTTTCACTCAGTTAGCACTACGCAACTTTGCAAAAACCTTAACTCAAAAGTAGTTACCAGTGGCAGTTAACCTTCTCTGTCACAGGATTGCCATTTGCATTTCTAGAATTTCCACCCCTCCCCTCTCCCCCAGGCCAGTCATGAGAGTGCCTCCTCTTTTGATGGCCCTTTGGGGTTAGTGCTATTGTTCAGGCAGATAGCCCTATTCTGTGAACATCACATGTGGGCTCTGAGGCAGTCCCCAGGTACTGACGAAGTTGGGCAGAGTTGATGCAGCTCTCGAGGGCCGAGGCCACTTGGGTGGGTCTCTATCCTACCAGACATCAGACAGGATTATAGAGGAAGGTGCCACCTCCAAGTGACATTTTGAGGACATTGTGCTAAGGGAAGTAAGCCAGTCGTAAAAGGACAAACACTGTGCAATGCCACTGACACGAGGCTCCCAGAGCAGTCCCCCTCACAGGCGGAGTGCGGCGCCGTGTGCTGGGGGCCGGGGAAGCAGGGCGGGCGGCTGCTGTTCGGTGGGTCGGAGTGTCTGGTGGGAAAATGACAAGGTCGTGGAGACTGGTTGCCCGGCATTGTAAATATGCTCGGCTGTGCTGAACTGTATGCTTAGAAAAGGTTAAGGTGGTGAATTTTATGTTATATGTATTTTGCCATAATTCAGTTTTAAGTGAGAGAAGGGAAGGGAGGGAGTGATAACTAGTACTTCCTTTACAAGATAGTTTTGAGGATTAAAGTTGAAGTGCCTGGGTAAGAAGTGGGTGTTTCCATAAATATTCACTCTGTAGTTTCTAAAGGAGCAAAGATTTGGTGGGAGAATTACAAAGCCCTATCCTAGGGAAATGCCAGCATGGTGGGGTATGGAAAGGCATAGGTGAGTTCCACCAACAACCAGGGGGAGTTAACAGCCTGATGTGGCTGCCACAAGAAATTACTGCAGCGTCAGGCTACATTAATAGAAATAGTTTCTAGAATGAAGGAGGTGGTGATTCTACACCATCTGCAATAATTGGTCCATCCCTGGAGAGTAAAAATTTATCCTGGAAACCACACTGAAAAGAAGGCAGGTACCCAGAGTTCATTCCGAGTCCCCTCCAAGGCCAGAACACAGAAGGGACCCTAACACAAAAGACGGTGGGGGTTGGAGATATTCCTAATCTTTGGGGAGCAGGGAAAGAGGACAGAGGGACTGCACACCAAGCACCAGGAATGTGGGATGTTACGTGATTACACAAGGGAAGGACTAGGGCCAGGGCATGGGGAATTCTGTCCTTGTAGCTCCTCAGGGCCGGTCAGGAGAAGGGGTCTTCCCTTTTCATGGCTGAGTTCAGGGGCTGGTGGAAGGGAAGCTTACACTCAGTTCTGTCTGTCCGGAGGAGCCTAGAGCTGCCACCAAAGCAAGTGTGCTCCGGGAGCTGTGCAGGCAGATGCTGACCGACCCTTGCTGAGAGTATGAGACCGGGCATCACACAGAGTGAATTGAAAATTGAACTAGGTGGCTCAGTGGGTCAACAGGGATGACCCGCAAGGAGAAAATCTTCCCGTGTGGTCATGAGGACGCATTCCAGGCAGGCGAGGCGGGGCATAACGAGCTCTGGGTGTTTTGGACCATTCCATAAGGCTAGAACCAGCAGGTTCAGAGGAAGAGTGGACCTGTAGGAAGGGATCCAGCTAGGTGTGTGGAGGACCTCTCCCTGAGAACAGTGGAGAATCACAGGTGGAAGTAAGATACCAGATGAGTTCTAGAGGGATCACTCTGGCTAAACATTGGGGAATGTATGGGAGTAGAAAGACTGGAAGCCAGGGGAGCAATAAGCAGCTGTTGTGATGGGTCGGGGCCGAGAAGGCCCGGGCCTGAAATGCGGTGGTCCCAGGGGAGAGGAGGCGGAGGTGGGCTGGGCAGAAGGAGGGGGACCGGGGGCTGCACACCAGCATGGGCACAGCCCGCCATCTGTCTCAGCCGCCTTTCCCATCAGGGGAAATCCCCAGGAGGTGCAATTTCCTAGTTCATTGGCATATAACATTATTTTTGCACGAGGTTTACAGCAGTGTTCTACTGAGACCTGAAGCTCTGTTTTGTTGCGAGAGCACTTGAGCTTCTGTTGTGGAGAAGTGGAAGAGTGATCCGCCACCGACTGGCAGTGAGGCCCAGGTTTCATTCACCCCTGCCTGGTAAACGTCAAGGCACTTGCATTAATACTGTCTCAGCTGGTGACAGTAAAGATTCAGAACTTTTGAGGCTTCATAGGAAATAAGAAACCACAACTGTGCACTCTGCAACCACATGAAACCTGTCTGTGGGCCTAGTAACTCGGTCAGCTCCTCTGGCTGAGCCTTCCCCACCCCTCCTTGCAGAGCAGCCCTGATTTGAGCTGTCAGGGCCCAAAACCGCAGCGGGAGTGGGAAGAAGTTCTTTCAGGGAGTGGGCCTCCCCCTGCCAGCCTGCCTGTCTCTTAAGGGGGAGGCTACCCTAACAGAAGACCCTTCAGGTTGAAGTTACGTTGGAAACCACACTTGAACTTCACTGAAGAGACGGAATCAAATTTGAGAAAAATGCAAACAGCAAAAAGAACTCAGAGCAAGACATGGCCTTTTCTTTGACCAAGGCTTCTGTGTTATGAGGGGAGAGCATCTGAGTTTGAATCCCAGGTCTCCCACTTCCCACCCACGTGGCCTGGAACACAGCCGTAGTCCCCCAGCCCCTGCCTCCCCATCATAGACAGGGGTCATCACTTGCACCTCCGAGAGAGCCCCCATTCATCAAACCCACATCCACATAGCGAATATTTGTGAGTGTTTGCTGCGAGCAGGCACTGTTGAGATGCAGCCCATCCCTGTGGGCACCTCCTGGGCACTGAGGAGGTGCTGGCTTCATCTGGGCTCATTGCCTGTGGGAGAGCCATGGCTGTGTCTCCGGTCACTCCTTGGGTCTCCTGGGAACCCCGGTCTCTCTGTGTAAGAACTGTACTCCCAGCCCACATCAGGTGGGCCAGCAAGGTCTGGAGAGAGTCCCTGGGGCCACCCCTTGTGGCAGGAGGACACAGGGAAATTTGCTCTTCTGTCTTTCCTGAAACCGTGATTCAGGCTGTGACAAGCAAGGTTTCCACGGGTGGCCTTGTGTGGTTCCAGCTTTCGGCCTGGCTGACCTGAGAAAGAAATTCCAAGCCGCCGTGCACTGCGTCCCGGAAACACAGGCAGCAGGTCCGAACGGGGACTTTGGTCAGGGCCAGTTTGGGACACATGGCAGTAAATTTCTTGATGGAGCTTTTGACCTCCTTCCTGTAGAATCACTGAAATGAGGTCACCTCAGGGCTCTAGCTGCTTCTTTACTTATCCTGTGTTTCCAGCACTTACTCTTCTCAGAAAAGTAAAGAAAGTAAGCAACAGCCAGCAAGAGAAATCTCCCAGGAGAGCAGCTGAGGCTTGGCAAGGCGCTATTTTCTTCGTAGGGTGGCGGCTGAATCACACCCAGGGCTGTTGCCAGCTGCCTGTGGGAACCCTGGCTCCAGTCCCCAGGCTCTGCCTCTGGAGGGACAGGGGAGGAGGAAGGGACCCTATCCACGGAAACAGAATTCAGTGTCTCCCATGGCGGCTGCATCTCCATGTCTGAGGTTCCAGACATGAAAACAGCACCCAAGTTTTCCGCCTCCTGTCCCTGATTCCAGTTTCAGAAACAACCACATGTCACCTGGTGGAACTGTGGGCATCAGGGGATGAGAGACCCTGGAAACAAGCGGCACCGTGGTGTGGCCCGGCACTGTGCCCTTTGTTTGATTCCCGCCTCAGCTGCAAGAGCCAGGCTGAACACACAGCTGCAGAATCAGCCACTCCCGCCGTTTTTATTTTTAATTGTTGAGCTTTGTCCATGTTTAGCTGCATAAACCACCTCAATTTATTTTGTTGGGTTTTTTTTTATGAACTCAGGTATAAAGCCAAAATAAATCACATAAATCAAACAATCAAAAAGTTGCACTGGAGTAACCAAGTCAGGCCAAATGTGATATAAGTCTATGACCACCACGGGTGGGTCACAGAGCTACTCTGCACATGAACTTGGAAACTGAATAAAGTACAGAAGCTTTAGAGAAGTGAAGCAAACCAAAGGTGAAATCATTAACAGCTAGATCCCTTCTTCTGTGAGCCACGGGCCTTTGACGAGAGAGCACTCTGCTCCGAACAGACGAGCACCTGCCCGAGCCTGGGGGTCCCGGAGCCCCCCGAGCCAGCATTTCCAGGCAGGGCGGCCAGGGGCACTGCTGCTTGGCTGCTGCCAGAGCAGCTTCTCCACCAGGCTGAGAAGCATTTTTTCTAGTCAGCGAGACTAGAACTATGTCAAAATGCACCTTATTCCTGGCAGTCATGGAGACATTGTGCCCAAGGGTTTAGCTAACTAGAAAGCAAAGAGTAAACTTTTCCTTAGCATGAACCAGAAATCACCCCTGCCAGCTTCACCTCACCCGTCACATTGCCGCCTTTCCTGACGGGTGCTTCTCTTCTAGATTCTGTTTGGGGCAGAGAGGGTGGGAGGCGACTGCCCGAGCACAGACAGGCCTGGCCAGGCGCCGTGTGAATTAGATTGAGCACAATTCCAAGGGCTCCTGGAGAAGCAGGGCAGGCAGCCACCAGCACCACCCTGGGCAGAAGTAACTGCTCTTAGAAATATCCTAATTTGTCTGTATGCAGAGCAGATAGGTTTGCACTGCCGTCACATGATTGCGTAAAGCTGCCGGGCCCATTCTTGGGCAGCTAGATTGATCAGCAAGTACTGGGGCAGGCTAACTTCTTGTTTCTGTTTTTCGGTCTTTCTTAGCGATCAGTAGACACATAACATCACACCACAAAATGCGAAAACACATGAAATATCTCTGCTCAGCCAGGCTTTTTTTGTTCATTGTTTCTGTTAGTAGAATGTAAGTCCAGTAGAAAGAATAAGCACGATACTTTTCAGCCTACATGCCCAATGTCAGTTTAGCTACTGTTTCTCACCCATCGTAGAGCTTCATCTCAATTACAATTGTAAAATCAGGACGAGCCCATTAATAAAACACTTCTGAATGAGCTCTGTGTCCAGCGCACTTCCTCGGGTGTTAACCCTCGAGATCCGTGCGAGGGAGGCGGTGCTCCCACGTGGAGGCGGGAGGGGGAGGTTTAGTGAGCTGAGTCAGGTAATGTGCCCTGGTCCCTCTGCCCCACGTGCCCAGCCCTGCCCACCACACCACTGTGCCCGCTCGGGTAGCAGGCCCCAGGGTGCCCTGTTCTCACTATTCAATGGGAAATCCTGATTTGCTCTCCAGTGGTATTGGTTTGCTTGGCCAGGAGTTACATGCAAACAATAGAAATGTCTGCTCGTTTCTCTCTGGCCCTCCTTCCTGTGGTCAGCTGCGCTCCCCACCACGCCCCAGTGGGTCTGGGCCACCCTCCCACCTCTGGCCCCAAGTCGGCCAGCTGGCTGGAATGCCAGCATCGGCATTTGAAGACTTTGTTGAGTGAAGGGTTAAATATGTTGACATAAGCCTGGCCCTCACAAAAGAAGCAGCATTTACACCCTGTACATTTATGGAAATACTTGCAGAAGGAAAACAACCACAATATTGTGCATGTTTTTAGGAAGAGAATAGCCAGAGTGTCTTTAATTCACTGTTTACCCGTGAGAATTACTCCCAGGAGTAATCCTGCAATAAAATCTTCTTGGTCTATGAGAATAGGAAGAAATTGAATCAAAAGACTCTATTTCCACTTGTATTTATTCAGTCTGGGAAATTCAGTGGGCCGGAGCATTACTATCAGCAGGGGATTCCTTGCTCCTAGCGTTAAATTACTGTCATAATCGCTCAATTATTTCTTCCTTGTACTGTTTAAAATAAAAATCCATCACATTCTATGTTTTTTTTCTAGCATTTATTAGGTTGAGTGTTTAGGAAAATCAATTATAGTCAGTCAGGCATGAATTGATGAATGTTCTTGTAATAATTGTCAGTTGTTAAACTGAATGTACTTTCTCTTCTCACCCTTTTCATTTCCTTCAGAGGGCAGAGGTGGCCCAGAGAGAGGCAGAGACCTTAAGGGAGCAGCTCTCATCAGCCAACCACTCTCTCCAGCTGGCCTCGCAGATCCAGAAGGCGCCGGACGTGGTGGGTAGCGGGGCCCTATGGGGACTCTGTCTGCCTGGCATCTGTAGCTCCACGTTGCAGCTGTTTTCTCCCTTCACTTTTTAACATCCCTCTCTGGAATATTTTAAGCAGTACTGCTGTCCCTGTGGGGAATGCTTTTAACAATTTGGGGATGGAACTTGGTAGAGAGTTTCCCTGCTTATGTATCGATGCTCTGTGGTCAGCGCGACGCCCGCCCAGTGTGGAGGTAGAGACAGATCCCATCACCAAAGGGAGCGTCTTCCTGGCTAGGCCTGTGGGGTAGCAGCTGGCAGCGGGGTGGGATCTGAAACTGGAGCCTCACCAGAATTACATGGGAAAATTGGAGGTGTGGTCTTCTCCTGAATGTGTCTTTCCAGAGTGAAAAGAACTTTGCGCTGAGCTTGGAAGGCCAAAGAGGTAATAAGGTAACATTCCTCTCCGAGTCTGTGTAATCGCCAGAGTCTTGCCTAAAGTGTAGGCATTCTGGGGCCATATGTTCCAGCCCTTTGGCCTCTTGGCTTTTCTGATATTAATTAAAGTTGCTCTTAGTTGGAACTTTCCCAGCTTCACTGAGGCAGCTTACAACTATCGGATTCCAGACTCTTTCCTTCCATGCTGTGCAGTTGTATGTATGGAGCAGCATATAGTTAAGACCTGGATATTGGAGCCACACCCCTGGACTCAGACCCCTCCTCTGCGGTTGTCAGCTCTGACTTTGGGTGATTCACTTAACCTCCCCAAGTCTCAGTTTCATCATCCATTAAATGGGTTTTTACAAGGGCTTCAGAAATCTGAGCACAGCACTTAGAGTAAGACCTAACACATAATAAGCCCTCAGGAAACCTTAGCAATTACTCTTATTGTGGTTGGCATCATCATCCCTGGTTCAGGAACCCTGGTTTGGAAGCTAAGCTCCATTTTACACTTGTTTTACACATCAGAGCAGCGAAACTTCTAGCCTCGGCTTTCTTGCGTGTAGCATGAGGAGTAAATGATCCTGAGGTCCCTTCAGCTCTGACAGCCAGTGGTGATGAGTGAATTGCACGCATAGGTGCTTGTGTGTTTGTTACGTAACAAGAGTCACAGAGCTCTTACCGTGTGCCAGGGCCCATAGTGGACACTGGGAGAGCAAGGGGAAGGAGCCAGGCCCTTCCCGGAGAGTGCGCTTTCAGACCGGGGAAGCTCGCTGCTCGCTGCTGTTGTCTGTTCACGTGTCGGTTGGGCAGCCGTCGTTCCACCTCACCTGTCCAGCGGGCCTTGTTACTCCCTTGTACGATGAAGAAGCAGGAGTTCCACGAGTTCAAACCCCTTGCTCCAGAGCACCTGCTCAGTCCCGTGGCCAAGCCAGGACTCGACTAGAGGGCCCTCTGCCCCCTTAGAATGGGAATTGAATCTAAATTATTCCTCAGGAATGAATCTAAAGCAAATTTTTGGTGCCGGAACCCCTTTTAACAATGTTTTTTTTCTTTACCCCTTTGTAACAATGTTTTCTTTCTTTATGTTAACATTAAGTAAAACATGATTTAAGTATCTTGGGATATGGAACAAAGTTTTCCAATTTAAGAACCATTGCATCCCTCATATTTCAAGCTCGCTGGTTTTCCTTTTACCTGGAATGGCCCCTTGGCTCTGTGCAGCGTCCCCCCTCCCAGCGCACCTGCACTAGACCCAGCGTCTCGGCAGGAGGAGGCCCTGGAGGACAGAGGGGGAGTACGGCTTCTCCTGGCCTTTGTAGTGGATCCTGGTCCTCTGGAGAAAGTCATCCATCCTCATATGTCCACACAGGGCTCCTAAGCTAAATGCTTCAATTGAAAGGATTTCTGGCACCATCCCGGACTGTGGCAACCAAAACATTTCAGAAAGAAATGAATGTTTTTGCAGGTAGAGTAAGTTGTGGATCCTAGGGGTGCTTAAACACTTCATCATCGGCTAAGTGCAGTGTTTACATGGCACAGGTTCCGTCTTCCAGGAGGGGCCCTGCCAGCGGCCCTCGGGGGTGCGTTCCCACAGTCCGTCGGCTCCAGCCAGCCAGGGAGCAAGCGCAGGAAACTGGGCCAGCAGGAGAATGGCTGTTGGGCTTGGCTGGCAGCACTCGAAAGAAAAACAGTAGACTCCATAGATCTGGCAAAGGCCAAAACCGATCTGCTGGGTGTCTTACGGGAATCGCAGGTTTTGGAAGGCGAGCTGCCCCTCAGAGAGTGCCTGCTGTGCGTGAGGGCTGGGCTGGGGCTTTACAGGGTTCCTTCATTTCTGCCTCATGACACCGTGGTCATTAGAGGCAGGGTTTAGTATCCCCATTTTACAGGGAAGGGAAGTGAGGGGCCCAGAGGAGTTAAAGAATTTGCCAAAGGTCACACAGCTAGAAAATGATCAGGCTGGCATTTGTCCTAAGTTTGTCCTACTTCAAAGTCCACTTTTCTCCCCACATCCAGTCATCCCGCCTCCATGTGCATTAGATGAAACAGGGTACGTGCAGGTCCCTCATCAGGTATTACAAACAAGTATCATTAGTTCGGGCTCTGGCGTACCACACCAGGCCACCTTCTTGAACCGAAACAAGCAGTGGCATTAGAAAAAGACACCTGTCTGTCTCTCAGGTGAGCCTGTCAGGTGCATACACCACATAGATCCTGCCTACTTCGGCCGCTAGGAGTTGGCAGGAGTAGAGGTGGCTGTGAGGGAGGGGAGTAAAGCTGAGGTTCCCACTCCCGCATGCTTCCCCTGCTGGAGGAAATAAAACTAAGGTCAGCCTTGACTTCACGTGTCTGTCTCACAGGCTGGGGTCCTGGGCACACCATCATTTCACAATTAGGCTTTCCTCACAGAGTCTCGATCCTGCATCTCATTCATATTTAATGTGAAAATGGCTGCAGGATAAAAGAGATGATTATCTGGCTTATGTCAGCCTGGATGTTCTAATCTCAGTAGGAGGACTCACTAGACAGTTACACAATCGGGATGTTTCACACGAGCAGGTTGGGGGAGAGGGGCGGCAAATGGGTTCAAAGGGACAGAACTTAATGGATGACTACTCAGTAACTTCTGCTTTTACGTTCACCTTTCCCTTTGGAAACACCCCCACCACTGTCATCTTCGCAAGCCCTTCCTTTTTTTTTTTTTAATACAATGTTTTTAGACCCAACAAAGCATTTCCAGGTTTCCTCTCCCGGCTCCCGGGCCGACAGAGCCCCAGCCCCCGCGAGGACTGCAGGGCGTCCTCACACGCCTTGGAGCCTGGAGACTCCGGACCTCGTTCTGGTGCCCCCGGGGGGCTCTTTCACACTTGTTCACATGCGAAAAGAAGCCAGCCCCTCTTTAGGGGCTATAGTCTGAGCCAGGGCCCTGACTCCGAACGCCATCAAAATCACCAGGGAGCCCTGACCCTCTGAACCATGGTTTCCAGGGTGGGGCCCGGGACCCACATGTTCTAAAGCTCCCAGGTGATTCAGGTACAGCTGAGTGGAGGCCTGGGTGAATAAGAGGGCGCTCACGGTCCTGGCCCTCTGTAAATCTGTGGCTGCTTCGCCTCTCAGGTAATTATCTCAACAGCATCCGAGCCTCCGGACAGGGACCTCCCCTCCTCCGTGAAGGCCGCCCCTCCTCTCACACTTGTTCGCCCCATCGTACAACCTCCTCTCTGGCTGTGCCCTCAGACAGAAGCCCCAGGCCACCCCCCAGGCACAGGCCTTCCCTCCTCCTGCAGCCTGTCGGTCATTCCCGGGGCCCCTGCTCATTTCTCCCCCCGTTTCCCCGTGTGTCTTCACGGTGGGACGAGGGTGCCCTTGTGTGTGAGAGGGGAGTGAGCCACATTTGGGCTTAGAGTGGGGTGATCTTTTCTATCTCACTTCCAAGGCCTTACTACCTTGGGGTGTGTTATCTCATTTAGTTTATGCAGAACACAGATGATTTTTGCCACATTATAAGTGAAGAATCTGTGGTCCAGTTTCCTGAGTTAGTTGATGTGCCCAAGGTCCCTTGGTCAACGTGTGGCCAGGCCACAGCGGGCCTTAGCAGTTGAGCAGGTGGCCCTCTGGGACTGCCTGCCCCTGGGTTCTCATCCTGGGCCCACAGCACTGGAAGCTGCAGCTTTTGCAGATACAGGATGGGGCTAAAGTAGGTTTACAGTTCTTCACATGGCAAATACTACAATGGTTAATAAATAATAATACAAGACTAAGCTCTATTTCACATACGACCATAAACCACTTTTGCCCTGCCCTGTGGTATTTGAGCCACTTGTCCCTGATAACAGTAACTTGCACTTGCCTGTTTAAAAACCCAGATCGGCCCTGACTGGTGTGGCTCAGTGGACTGAGTGCGGGCCTGCAAACCAAAGGGTCGCCAGTTCGATCTCTAGTCAGGGCACATGCCTGGGATGCAGGACAAGTCCCCAGTTTGGGGCACACGAGAGGCAACCACACACTGATGTTTCTCTCTCTCTTTCTCCTTCTCTTCCCTTCTCTCTAAAAATAAATAAATAAAATCTTTTTAAAAAGCAAAACAAAACAAAAAACCCAGATCGCCTTTTGGCTTGTTTTACAGACTCTTTCCCTAAGAGCACTTGAAACCATTAGTGTGGCTGGCATCTCTCAGGTTGGAAACTTAACAACAAGTTAAATTAGATAACACGGCTCCTCCTATGTCCACCGTAAGACCACCCTCCCTGAATACCACTGCCTCTGAGTCTCCATGTCTCTGCAGCTCAAGTGCAGGCACCTCTGGCCACCCTTCTGAGCGTTCACCATCAGTCCCCAACATGCCTCTCCTTTCATGAGCTGGCCTCTCATCATCGCTGCCTCCTTGTGCCCTGCTCCCTGCCCCTTCTAGCCGCTGTGCCCACCTGTGGAATTCGAGCCCCTCTTCCTCTGGACGAGAGACCCAGCAGCCTTTTCCTGCTGTACCTGTGCCTCCTCCTCAGGGGGCACCTCCTCCTGCTTCTCTCACTGTTATCTCAGGCACTAGCCCCCTGGCGCTGCTGGAGGATGTGTCTTGGGCCCCCTGACCTTGACCCACCCAGTGTTCTCTAGGGCAGTGCTTCTCATTCTCTCCATGGGAAAGGACAGTCTTGTGATTTTTAAACTTCCAATCTGTCATATACTAATGGTTTTATAAAAGACAGTAAAAATGTCACGGCAATGTGAATTGCTGTAAGCATTTCTAAGCACTCAGTTTCTGTCCTTGTCTGTGCAACGGCAATGGTGGTGAGCTGGCACCTGTCCTTGGAGCACGCTCTCACCCAAACTGGTCTGGACAGCGTGTGCCTTTTAAATAAGCTGGCAGGAAGGTGCTCAGGGGAGCCCAGGGTCATGTGCAGATCTTCCAGAAGGCAGAAGGAATGAAAATCTCCTTTTATGATATTACACAAATCAAGGAAACAGAAAGGAGTCACTTCTTTGCACGTAGAGGCCTTAGTTCCCTAGGAGGGAGATGTGAAAAATGATCTGTCTAAGCGACTGACGGCCCCAAATGTGAGGAAGCCTGTGACAGGAACATCATACATGGAGGGGCATGGCTGCCTCCGCCACCTGGGGCTGTAGCTCCCATTGTCCATGCTCTGTGCGGGCACGACCAAGACAGGAATCGAGTGACTGCGAGGCTGGTGGCACTGCGGCTGCAGTGTGAGCCACCCCAGGGTCTGTTGTCAGAGACCCCTGTGCAGTTCCATCTCCCCGGTCCCATCAGTCACGCCCAAACATGCACCTGCCCCGCAGAAAAGTTTTCAGAATTCTTTCAGGAGCCGTTACTACTTTCAGAACTTGAAGAAAAGTACAGCTTTACCCCTGATATGTGTGGCGCGATGGGGTGGGCGTTGTCCCACAAACTGAAAGATCACTGGTTCAATTCCCAGTCAGGGCACGTGACTGGGTTGCGGCCAGGTCCCCAGTGGGGGGTGCATGAGAGGCAACCACACATTTATGTTTCTCTCCCTCTCTTTCTGCCTCCCTTCCCCTCTCTCTAAAAGTAAATAAATAAAATCTTCTTTTTAGATGCTACTTTAATCTTTGGGAAGTAGAATTACAGATGTAACTTTTTCTTTTTTTTTAATACCCTTTCCCTGTTTTGCCTATTTTCCACTATGAACAAATTAGGGAAGGGGATAAGTTTTTTAAAAATATCAGTCAGTATATGAATTTCTAAGCAGAGGGACTCCAAATGTGCATCTTCTACATCTTTTAACTCTTTTTTAAATGCTGACTCTGAAAATCAATTTGTCAGACAACATAGCACCTAGGTAGTTTAGTGATGAACTGAAAGGACATTAAATTCCATCTGGTGGGAAAAGACCGGAACACTTTGGAACCTTCCAGAGCCTTCCCGTTGCCCGGTCCACTCATCCCCCAGCCACCAGCCGGGCCCTTTCTGTCGCCTCCCTCAGATCTCTGCTCGGATATCACCGTCTCATGAGGCTTTTCCTGACCATCTTATTAAAAACCCTAGTCGCCTCTCAAGTCCGACCCCATGACCCCTTCTTGCTTCAGCTTTTCTCTGGCGCTTATCACCACCTAACACACTTTATGCTGCTAATAAATGCAGTAGTGCATCTCACCTACCCACCCATCCCACTGATGAGAAGCCCTGTGAAGAAAGGGACTTCCACCCTTTTGTCCCCCGCTGCGTGCCCGGTACTCATAAATGCTTGTTGAATGGACAGATCATGGTGGCGGCTCACTGCGGGTGGAACGGTGGTGTGGGGAGGGCAGTCAGCTGGTCCCATCCAAGCAGAGGCAGGAAGTAATGTCTGACCATGAGCTCACCGTCACATCCTCCCATCTGCTGGTTTTGGCAACGGTTGACCACACACCTAACCCTGAGCACCTGCCTGAAGCTGGTGCAGTTTTGTCATTTCCTTTCTCCTTCCTAGGAGCAGGCCATAGAGGTGCTGACCCGCTCCAGCCTGGAAGTTGAGTTGGCCGCCAAAGAGCGGGAGATCGCCCAGCTGGTGGAGGACGTGCAGAGACTCCAGGCCAGCCTCACCAAGCTGCGGGAGAACTCAGCCAGCCAGATCTCCCAGCTCGAGCAGCAGCTGAGTGCCAAGAACAGCACACTCAAAGTAAGGGCGCCCTGGGGGCCAGTGGGCAAGGGAGGGTGGGATGCACACACGCACACCCTTGGTCTTCCTCCACATGTGGCCCCGGAGGGAGCCCGGGTTCTGCACGGCGGTCTGGCTCCCCACTGACGCCCTGAGCTCTTCAGTGGGTTGCTTCTGCCCTCCAGCATCTGGGATGCCTGATGGGTGTAGTAACCGTGGCAGAGGCCTTATCTCAGAGGCTGCCTCCTTGGCCCTGCCTTGGCCCTTCCACAAGGTATTCTCATTTTTGTGGTCTGTAAAGATAATGGTTAAAATTTGATCTCCTTTAAAAACAAAAATGACTGCTTGGATATTTCTCAGCCTAATCGCCAGCCATCAACAACAGTTTTTGCCTCCAGCGAGAACAGTGGAACAGGCATGAGGCTCCCCTGGGCACCTCAGTCAGAAGCACGGGTGAATAAGCTCTGTCAGAGTTCTTTTTCAGAGGGCACCACATCTAGAATTGTCCATATGTCAGCATTGAACCTCTGCAGAATAGAGTCCTGGAGCCCAGGAAAGGAGACAGACTTTGAACCCCCTCTGCCAGCTCCAGCCTGGCAGCGCCTCCCTCTTGACCGACCGTTGTTTGCACTCAGCACTTGGTGGAAATCCCCATCTCAGTGCCCGCCCGCCCACCCACGGCTCTGCTTCACCACCTGGGAGCTGGGGCTGACGGAGTGGACCTGGAGATTCTGTGTGCTTCTTGGGCTAACGTGATTGTCAAGTCCGCAGGCCATCTGCATAAACATGCCATTAGAGGAGGCTGCCCATGGGAAGACCCAGCACACTGAAATTCAGGCTCTCCTTGTGCCCTAATGAAATGAAAGCAAGAGGCGCTACAGACCCTGTGGGCCACGCTCTCGAGCTGCAAGACCACTTTTGGCCCCTCGGGCCTGAGCCGTGCCACAGGCAGCCCAAAAGCTCACAGTTGGTCTCTTCCCTCCCAGAGGGAACCACAGCAGCCCAGCCAAAAGCTAGATCCTCCTGGGGTTTCTCATAACCTTATATCCCAAACGCAGAACCTGAAACCTTTTTCATTATGTTAAAATATATGTATATATTATCTAATGTATTTTCAGTCTGTTGAAGTTACTAGTATAATTTGAAGATAGTCCTGGGACCCTCTTAGCATGTCAGCCAGAAGGGCCTTCTCATAGCATCTTATTTGACCTTAAAGATACAGGACCAGGAAAGGCTCAGGATCCCTGCTTGCAGGCCAGAGTGATGCCCTGCCTTCCCTCCCCAGCCTGAGCCATGCCCACTTGGGCCTCCTGCCCTGACTCAGCGTCCATCTGTGGGGTGTGTGCGTGCGTGAGTGACTGACTGACTGCCAAGTGTAGTCACTGTACACTAAATAAGGTGGATTGAGATTAGTAATAAAAATGTCGGGACACCTTTTTCTTATATAAAACAATTCTAGAATGTAGTTAGGTTCATTTTGATTTTTTTTTTCATTGAAATTTTTCTGCTTAACATATGACCACGTGTCTGACCCAGACCTCAGCAAGGTGCCCGCAGGCCTGCCCTTGCTGGTACTGGCGGGCCCGCGGCTCTCCCTCACCGGTTTCCCCTTTGCCCCCTTGGGGCGGGTCTCCCCCGCTGCCCGGGAAACTGCCAGGTGCGGGGCCCTCGGGTAAGATGGTCCTGCGACTGTGGGGAGCTGGTGGAGACCTGGTCACCTTTGTCATCAGCGACGGTGTTTGTTTCTTCAGTGTGTCTTTTTCTCTCATCAGCCTACCCGGAGAGCACCAGGGCTCATTTTTTATTTCTAGATTAAATCTAATTTTCTCATGTTACAGCCGTTTCTGACCCCAGCATTGGCATTATTATTAGATAATTCGCCTTCCTCTCCTCTGTTACCATTAAAGGGTTTGACTCAAATGCATTCTGCATTTGACTATGTGAGAGGGAGGCTGTAGACCTTACATTTTTTATTATAGAGCAATTTCTTCTAAATCAGTTAAGGTTTTAATGTTTGCCTTCACAAAAAATGAAACGCAGTTTTCACAAATTAATGTTCTTTATCCGTATCTTGGGGGAATTCTTTAATACTGTGCAGTTAATGAAACAATTCAGCAATACTTCTTCCAAAATTATTGCTCCCTTATCTTCATCTGATCTAATAATCAAAACATATCCTCTAGTAACAAGACTTCTCTGATTTTAATTATCTTAACCCCTCGTCGCCAGGAGTGGAGCTCTCCCCAGTATCGAACCCACACACAGGAGGCATTAGCCTTCCCCAAAGGAATAAGGTTAATTGAATGAGATACCTTCCCAGGGCTTTTTTCCCCCTAATGTGTATAATTTATAGTCTCATGTCCAAACTAAGCAGCGATACAATTATTAGGAAAATATTTTATGAATGAGACCTGTCAAATTGACAGCCTGATGCTTTTGCAACTAGCTCTCTGACCCAGCAGTGGTGGCCTCACAGAAGTAGCAGCGAGCCGTACCTGCACTTCCCAGGGCCTCCCCTCTCCTCCCGCTCCTCCCTCCCCCACCCTTCCTCGCCTTGCCCCCAGCCCTCTCCTCCTTGGACTACTTCGGCCAGCAGCAGAGACTCTGGGACGTTCTGCTCGGGGCTCAAATGAGGATCCGTTTGCAGATGCTGCAGCTTCTCGCTCCCTCACCATCTTGGAACTGCGGCTGCTTTGCAGGAACATTAGCAGTAGTCTCGGAGACAAATGCTAATGACAGTCACCCGTGGGGTGTGGGAGGTGGGTCTCACGAGAATCTTGAGATTATTGAGAGGGCGGAGCGTGCAGGGGTCCCCCCGCCAACACACTGTGGCGGGGCACTCTGCAGGGGAGTGGACCTGGGGGCTCATTGGTCGCCTTCTCTAGCACCTCGAAACTCTCTGTCTCTTTGTGATTGATATTTCTTCCCTTCCCTTAAACAACTGATTCATAATTTTTTGAGAATAAATTGACAGTTGGGTGTTTCCCAGTCTTTCCCTCCCTGTGTTCCACTTCATCGAGCCAAGTTCACCGTGAACCCCTCACTCTCCACACACAGTAGTGTGTCCTCTGACCTTTGAAGAGACGTGGAAACCGACTCAGAAGTGGGAGATGTTCCTTCCTGCCCATCCCGAAACGTGCTCAAGCACAGTGCCGCTTGTAGGCGATAATTCCATATTCGTAATTAATGAAGAACCCAACTGTCGTTATAAGGCTGCTTTTCTGATAACTCTATTCTATAGTCTTCTGTTGGGACACTTTAAAACAGAGGCAGTATAATTAAGCAGTCACCTGCACTATGCTCACTGTAGCACAGAAAGCAATACTACCAAAAGCTTCAATTTAAAATGATACTTATAAGAAAAGTTAGCTAAAAGGATGCCAACCTCCCATAAGGAGAAATCACATTTGTTGGCAGGTGTATTGGAATTATGTGCAGGACTGTCTCCAAACTGTGCGTGGCTCCCCAACCCTCTGCACCCCTCACCGCACCTCCTGAGGGGCTAACAGGTCCTCTCGACCCACCGCAGAGCGTGATGTGTCCCTCAGGAGGGTGGGACAGATGATCACTGCTTCTCTAGAGTCGCTCGGTGCCTTTAATTCTGGGCGCTGCCTCTTTGGTTATGTAAGTCTCCTCACCAACAGCGTGTTTACTCCGCACAGAGGCTGCCCTCGGTAATGTTTTAACAAGCATCTTATTGACATCTCAGTGTATAAAGCTCTAACATCCACATCTCATTTGACACTTGCAGGGCAAGCAGGCGTGGTGATGGCCGCTGCCTTGTGGAGAAGGTCACTGAGATTAGGAGAGGCCAGCACCCACCCAACACCATAAGGTGTTGGCACCCTGGGTGGCATGAGTGAGTCCTAGATCAGCATCTCAGAAGCAGAGGAGCCCTGGGCCAAGCCTCCCTCCCAGGGCGAAGGTGGCCACACTCAGGGAGCAGCGGCAAGGCCCCAGGGAGGGGCCCCTGGGAAGCAGTTGACAAAATCAGGGGGCCTGGCGCTGCAGACCTCGAGGGCTGTGTTGGAATTGAGGGAAGGCTGCAGGTCACAGGTGGGCTCCTGTGAAAGCGCTGTAAACCAACAGGTGTTACTGGAGATTCATTCAGGGAGCAGATTACTTGCGGGAATCTACGATGCATCATCTTGGAGAAGCACTGGTGCCTCTGGCCGCTTGAAGAGCAGGCCCAGATGTTTCACTAGCTCAGTCCCAGCTTGCAGCACCCGCAGCTGACCGTGACTTACCTTGTCCAGGTGGCCTGTATTGGACCAGGACCCCCCTGGTTTGTGGTGACACCATTCCATGAGAAGTAGTTGGCTCCCATCTGCCCTTTGCCTGGCTCACACCTAGATCACAGCTCGTAGGAGTGAGAGGTGACTTGTGACAGGGTTGCCTACAGGGGCGCCTCTTCTGTCCAGAGTCACACTTCTCCAGCCTGCAGCAAGCCCTCCAACCTAACCACCACTCTCCCCACCAACCCCCTACCTGGCCCTGCAGTCTTCTGGCCTTGGTCTCGAGTTCTCAGCATCCATGTGCACACAGCTCCCACCCAGCCATCTCTGGGCTTCTCCTCCTTGCGCAGCATCAGTAGATTCAATATTTACATACCTGCTACCTCTCACCAAGAAACTGGGAACTGGAGTGGGACCCCCGGGTCAGGTGCACACTGCCCAGTCCTGGACCCCACAAAGGCTGTACCAACTCGAGGGGCTGTGCCTCAGTGCCCTCCCCTGGACCAGGGAACCCAGTCACACTTGCTCTGCTCCCAATGGGGGCCCCTTAGCACAGGGCCCCAAGTGAGGATCAGGTGTCACACACCGACACCTGAGCTGTCAGTCTTCAGACAGCACTGGCAAGAGCCTGGTTCTGACCCCTGGAGGAGAAAGGTGGAGCTGTGTACACACTGGAACACAGTCACCTCTCTGGCCCAGAGTTTGCTTTATTGCAAAAAAGTATTGCTACCCTCACTGCGATACCTAGAGAACGATGCCTTTCCAAGGGTCTCTGCGTTAGTCTCCCGTGCCAGAGGTCCCTGCATTTGATATCCCTAGATACAGAAAGCCCTATGTTACAACTTGACGAGACAGACATCTTTTATAAATGCAGTGCCTAATTTGCTGCACCCCAAGATACTTTGCATTTTAAATTAAATGTCCTTATCGTTTGACTCTTAGCCAGGATTTTAAGAACTTAATATAGATAACTCTTATAGCAATTCAAGAAAGATTTGATGAGCAGCTACTAAGTTCCTGGAACTGCATGCATACTCTCTATTATTGAATACATGGGGCCTATATTATAAAGCAGTCATGTTTGAGGGGCATTTGGCAGTCTGCGTTTGCTTGCCCCACATTTCCTTACTGCCGTTGTTTGAAAACCCACCCCTTTTTCATATGAGGAGCACGGAGGTCACACTCGGGCCGGAGCTGGGCCAGCAGCCTGTCTCCGACATTTGGCTGTGTCTCACATGTCGGTGTCAAGCCCACGTGTGTTCTTAGATAAATACCTTTCCAGGCGGATAATCTGGTTTCCAAATTCTGCATTCGTGGCACAGAATCTGGGGCTGCCTTTTCCTGCCATCAGCATTTAACAATCAGAATTTTTCCCAGTACCTGTGTTCCTTCTCCGTGGACCTGCCACAGGACAGTGGGGCCACTGGGAGATGACAAATTGGGATGTGGAGAGCTTCACAAACAGGCCCTGGATTCAGAACCTCTGAGTCTCTCCAGAAACAGTTCAGTCATATTCAGGATCACCCACCAAGGACAAAGTAATAATAACCAGAGTAACACTAATAACCGCCCTCACAGAGTGCTCTGCTATGTGCCGAGCGCCACACTAAGCACTTAATAGGCATTATTTCACGTAAAAGCGCTGTACTTTATGCAGCACTACCCCCATTTACAGATGGGCACACTGAGGCTTAGAGAAGTGAAGTGTCTTGTAGGTCTCCCTGCCTCTATGTGGCTCCGCCCCACCGGCCAGGCGCAGAGCGCAGCAGGCATTGGCCTGACCTCCACACACAAGCCTTTCGCTTCCTCCTGAAAGTGCTGCCAGCAGGTCTGATCGTAGAACTCAGTGATTGTGTTTCTGTCTTTGTGCAGACAGTTTGCCTCTGCAGGGTGTTGCAACAATTAAGTAAGACAGCAGGATGCAGAACCAAGCATAGAATGGGGCCCACCCCATGAGTGTGAGCAAAATCTGAGAGAAGAGTCTTTCTCCAGCAAGAATGACAGGCGGGAGCATCTGTTGCCCTTTCCAGACTGAGTCTTCAAAAGTAGACTTTCCGAGTACTCAGCAAGGAGTTTCAGGTCAAAGAACCAAGCTGAGGGTGCTCGGTCTTGTGCCGTGATGGGCATTCTCAGCATCAGAGCCAGTGCTCAGCCCTGCGCCTTCTGCTTCGTGGCGCTCTGCAGGGACTTCTGTGAGGACGGGCCCAAGGTTCTCAGGTCGGGAAAAGCTTGGTCAGACCTCCATCCATTTGTTCCCCCAACGAGCCAGAGACATCGTTAGAGGCACGGGCACGGTCTTGGGTTCTTAATAAAGCCACCCCCAAGTAGGTGGCAGAAATTCCAGTGGAAGCTATTTAGTTCCCTGTGCATACTCCCATGCAGCCAAATCACAGGCTCCGGTCCTAAAGCCTTCTGATCGGGGCCCATCTCGGGTCTGCAGAAAAGGCCTACAGCTGTGCTCTCAGGGAGAGGAACTGGGACTTGGTGGTGATAATGGTCCCGCATCCAAGGCCTCACAGTGCCAACATCTGCACCTTGTCCTTGCCTTGTGCCCTGTAGCTCAGCCCTTTAAGGTAATTGCTGCTATCACGTTTTACAGATGACAAGTTCATTAACATGTCCAAAGTTACACAGCTTATAAGGGACAGAATTGACTACAGGTTCAATGCCATGCTGAGTTCTGAAGTGCCCCATATTTCCTCCTCTCACTGGCTTTCTTCCTTTCTCCTGATCTCTGAACATGAGCAAGTTTTATGTGTGTTTCGTGTCCAGCATCAGTGAATTCCTCAATCGGAAAGGTGTTTCTGTGTCCCAGCAGCGGTGGATAATCTTTTGTTAGGGAAGGCTGGCGCATTAGTGCTTCCTGCTATTCCACTATAGGGAGAAGAATGAAATAATCACTTTTTCATGAGCACCTTCTGAGAATCTTTTGTCGGGAAATGAGTGCATGCTACCCCCTGTTTGATTATGGCTCAGAAACCATTATAATACATAACATTGGCAAGAGGTCTTAAAAAGGAACTAGGACAGCGCAATTTTACACGATGGAAAATACACAAAACTGCCAGGAAATGCAATAGAAAAGATGGACTAAATGAATTTTATTTACAGAACAGCTGAATCCTTGAAACAGCGAACAGGGTGGGATTCAGGCAAATGTCCAGGCTGCTGGCCAGAGGAGCAGCTGCTCCCTCAACTCTAGAACATCCCCGGTTGGCTTTGAACTGTGGTTGTCGTTGTGGCCCGTCGAGCAGATGGCAACTGGAAGCCCGTGGATGGGAAGGGGCTCTGATTCAGGCACTGGAATTTGTTCACTCCAGGCTTGAAAACAGTTAAATCATTAGAAAACCACCCCCACCCTCCAGCAGGCTGGGTCTTCGTGTTTTGTATTAAGCTGCCTTATTTCCCCCACAGAGCTCCCTTTGTGGGAGGAAAAAGGCAAACTAGTCCAAACACCTTTGTGAGGGGAGCGCCTCTGCTGACTAGCTGGTGCCCAAGGCCCTTCCCGGCAAGCGGGCCTGCGGAGCTCGTGCAGAACCAGTTCCCCGAATCCGCACATCCGCGCGAGCGAGCGCAGGCTTCCCTGGAGCGTGTCAGGGCGCCACTCGGTCTGGGAAGTGTGCTGTCTGTCGCCCCTCGGGCCCCCGGGCCAGGGTCCCTACCTTTCCTCCGAAGGGCCATCGGGGGTCAGGCCTCCGCCCCTAAGATCCTTACCAGTGCTTTTTCCTGGTGCCCGTCTGACGAGCATCTCTACGACAAAGGTGCCCACAGCTTCCGTTTGCAGAGTTCCACCAAAGGTGTCAGCAACTGAGCATATGCATCAGCGAGCCAAACATACTCTGTTCAGAATATTAGGAGAGCTTCTCTTCTCTTCATTCTGTTTGCCATTTCATGGTATTCCTACAAAATGGCCTTTTCCTCAGTGTTTTCCAAATTTTATCTGGCAGCCTTATATTGCTGTGTGTGTGTGTGTGTGTGTGTGAGAGAGAGAGAGAGAGAGAGAGAGAGAGAGAGAGAGAATGCCTGTGCCCGCTGACAGGCATGCTCACGGCAGAGCAGAGAGTGACCACCGGACGATTTACAGGGAATGTAGTCAGTGAAGTCTTTTTAGCGCATTCAGGCTGCAGTAACAGGATACTATAGACTGGAGCACTTACAGGAAACACTCATTTCTCACAGTTCAGGAGGCTGGGAAGTCCAGGATCAAGGGACTAGCAAGCTTGGTGTCTGGCGAGAGCTCCCTTCCTGACTGTTCTCGCTCTGTCTTCCCAGGGCAGAATCGAATAGGCAAGGGAGCTCCCTGGGACCTCTCTGAGGGCACTGCTCCCACTCCTGAGGGTCCCACCCTCATGAGCAAACCACCCCCAAAGGCCCCGTGTCCAGATATCATCACAGAGGGAGTCGGGATCTCAACACACCCAGTACCAGGAAGGGGAGAGGAGGGCACCAACACTCAGTTCACAGCAGAGTCTATTGACCTATTTCAGTCACAGCAACTAATGAAACCCCTCTGTTTTCAGCAACTGGAAGAAAAACTCAAAGGACAGGCTGACTATGAAGAAGTGAAGAAAGAACTAAAGTAAGTGTGGAGATGCCTGCTCAGCCACTCACAAGCCAGAGCTCACTGGGGACACGTGCTAAGAAATGCCGTGGCAGCAAGGGAGCAGCCCCGGGTCCTGGGTCTTGGCCTCAGCAGACGCTGCCCCACGGGGTCTGCTGCCCCACGGGGCACGTCCGGGCTGCCTGGCGCTGCGGGTGTTCACACGTAGGCCTGTGCCTAGGTCCTTTGGACTTCTTATGGAACTATACATTTAATTACTCCAGTATGCACAGAATCAGGGCAGACATCACCATTTTAGAAATTACAAAATACAAACTTGTTTTTCAGCCGTAACTTCCCCCAAGCAGAAGCAGAGCAGAGCAGGGAAACATTTTCCCGGTGAAAGAGTGCACCTGGCCTCACGCCTCCCCGGGCACCGAGACTCCAGCGCTTTCTTCTCCCAACCTCCAGCTCCCCGTCTGAGAAGCAGCATTAGAAAGCGCGTTGTCCCTTCAGTGCTGATTTACATGCTCAGGCTCAGACATTCCCTCTCAGGCCCCACCACCCGGCCTGGCCCTCCTGCCTCAGATTCCTTCCCCAGGGCCTGCCCTTGGCCCTCCTGCAGCTCCCAGGCTCTGGCCCCTAACCTGTCCCCCAGTTCTAGCACCCTCCAAGTTCATGACCTCTTCCCTTAGCCTGGAGCTCTTGGGCAGCCCCCTGTAGAGCACACGGCCCCCTCATCCTCCAGCCTGGCCTCACAGTCTCCTCCGGCTGCCCCCCACTTCCATGGCCAGGTTATCAAATCCTGCCAGGAAGTCACTGGTGTGCTGACCGGGTCCCTGCAGGCTTTTCTTTCCCCTGCTTCTTGTAGGCACCGTGCTGCCCCAGGGGATCCCTCTATGCCCCCAGCAGCCTCCTCTGTCCCCACCCGAGCCCTGAACCCCTAGCAGCCATCCTGGTGCTCTGCCCACAGAGGAGACAGACATACCGTGTCTTTCCCCTTTGCCTCAAAATCACTACTGCTGTCGTTGGCTTCTCCAGTCTCTCCAGGCTGCACCCTCCACCTGGACCCCAGCTCCCTTCCTTCCTACTCCTTCATGCTATTCTGTCAGCTTCTTTCTCTCTTACTGACATTTTTAATTTCCCCTTTTAAAGTAAGCATACACCAACCAACTTACCATGCTGTTCTTCATATTCTCAATTCCGTTCCCTCGGGTTTGCTAGAAAAGCCCATTAGAAAGCCTCTTGGACCTTCTTGCCACCATGCCCAGGGCCTTCCCTCAGTCATGACGCCCTCCCCCCCCCCCCTCAGCCTCCCTGATAAGGTGCCTCCAGGCCCAGTCCTGCCCACTCTCACCGCCCCCCCCCCCCCGCCCACATCCAGCCTCTGCCGGATCTTCTTGGGCGGCCCCTAACCCTCTCTACAGCTCCAGCTTCTCCAAGCCCTATTTTTTTTTACCTGGTGGACCTTCTGTACCTGCCTCTGTCACAGTCTTCTTCCCTTTCCCTCTTTGTCCCCCCTCAAAAGAAGGAAAGTGTGTGCCATCTCCTAGTGTGGAATCAGAGGACCTTGGGCCTCCACCCAAGCTCCCCTCCGTCCCCACGCTGAGAGCAGCCGCACACCTTCACTCCCAAGGCTCCTGGATTCAAGCCTGCAGCACACCCGGTCTGGTCCTCCCAGCTGTGGGCCTGCCTTGCTGGCCCCGCCCTCCTCCCAGAGCATCCTTCCCGCCTTCCTGCTGCCCTTTCCTTTCATCTGCACACCCCAGCCCCCACCACCACATCAGCATCTGAAAGCCACCCCACTCGGTGGCTTTTCTGATAAAATGTGACCTTGGCCTCCCACTTGTTAGCGATCAAATGCTTTTTCAGACACGTGCTCACATCTCCTCCCCATCTCTGCCCTGAGACCCCATCCCCCATGGTCTGTAAAGCATCCTGCGCCTTCGAGGCCCGCCTCAGAATCTAACTGCTCAACACACAGACCCTGTCTGCAGACCAGTCAGGTCTGTCCCAGGGCCCCCGCAGGGTTCCTCCTCCCCGTGCTCTCTGGACTTGGTCTGCTCTGAAAGAGCCCGTGATGTTCTCGAGGATGAGAAGCCGAGTGGCTCTGATTCTCCAGTGCCGGGCGCATAACGGGTCGTCGGTAAACATCTGTTGACCAAATGAAAAGACCTGATGCTTTTGGTATAAACTCCAAGACTCTGTCTTCTCTTACACGAGCTAAAGAAACTCGCAGACAGAATGTGGTGGTGAGCGGTGTGGAGGTCACCGAGAAAGGACAAGCCCCAGGCTTCTGCCTGCTGTGACAGGGCCTAGTCCTTTTAGTATTTCCCACAGCCTGCTGTGAAATAAAATTGTTGAGTTGGCCAAAAAGTCTATTTAGGTTTTTCCCATAAAATGAAAGACACATTTTTTTTATTTTCACCAATAACTCTATTGATTTGGATATTTTGAGCATGTCGGCCATCTCCCACTATTGGCTTCTAGTGGGCAGAGGCCAGGGGTGCGGCTGAACACCTTCCAATGCATCAGACAGCCCCACAGTAGAGAATTATCTGGCCAAAATGTCAACAGTACCAAGAGACTTCGCAAACCACTTTTGACACGTTCTATCAGTCACAGCACCTATATACACTGCACAATTTTTTTTTTGCATTTCAGTGGCTTTTTTACCTTTTCTTAAAATGATAAAGCGTAATGTGCCAAAAATGTTGCATATCTTCTTCCACCTTCAGTATTAAAATGGTTACACAAAAATAAACCAATTTTGATAAGTCTTTTTTAATGCACACTAATATGACAGCTGTCACAATATAGTCTAACAAAATTGTTTCAAATGAAGTTGACAGAAACTAAGCACTAGTAGGGCCATCATATGGAAAAAAAAAAATAAAACTTTTTGGCCAACCCAGCACACGGTTTACTCCCACTAGCCCCTCTTTGCTCTGTTTTGTTGGTTTACATGAGGAAGGCCACTGAACAAGTACAACCACAGAGAAACTACGAGCAGTCAGCTGCTCACTGAACCGGACCTTGTAGTGGCCATGGCAGAAAGAGGTCTCCCGGGGCCTTGGGCATTTTTATGCGGCGTGCTCTCCTGGTGACACTCCCATGGAGCTTAGAGAGAGCAGAGGCTAAAGTTGTGGCTTCAGGAGTGCTGGGGGAACTGGGGTGGCCCCTGCCTGGGATGCATATCGTGCTCTTTCCCACCTTCCCTCCGTGTGTGTGAGGGGCCACCCGCATGGACTCGCCCACTCCTCCCCGACAGCTCACAGAAAGACAGCAGTACACATGCTAAAGGAGCACCAGAAGCATCAGCTCTGGGCACCTGGACTCACTCAGCTCTCAGATATGTTGAGACAGGCCAGAGACTGATGTGATTTCAATGATAAGGAGAACAAAGGAGAAATAATCTTGCTCTCCCACACCTATGCCAGGGTGCTCCTTCCCCGTCCCGGGGCGGTAGAGCGGTCTGTGCCAGCTTTTGAGCCATCCAGCCGTGGGCGTGTGCTCTTTGCCCATGTCCCCGTCCCCAGTACCAGCTCCCAGTTGAGCATATGGGGTGGAGGCCCTGGGGTGCTGAGGTTTCTCTCTGAGGTTGGCTTCTTGTACCAGCTCTTTCCTTCTCTCTAAGCTTTACAAATACATTCCGCTTGCATCAATGTTATGTCTGCGTTCAACTTTAAAATTATACTCTGAGCAGACCTGGTGTGATTCCATATGGAGTGATTTACATGCCGGGCAAGAAACTTTTGCTGGCCAACTGCTAGTTGAATAGTTATTCTAGAGACATTATCAGATGATAATGCTGCCAGGGAAGTTGTTAAAGTTGTCAGATCCTCCGTTCCTGGAGAGCGGGAAGTGGTGATGCTGGTGCTTATTAGAAGGGCCGCTACCAAAAGTACGAGTAGGAGATAACCACCCTGTCTTGCTCTTCGCAGCATTCTGAAGTCCATGGAGTTCGCACCGTCCGAAGGAGCTGGGACACAGGTACATGGTCTCACTTCGCTGTGGGCGTGTGGGGGCATCGGCACGGCCACGGTCCTTGTCTGTCCCCAGGCGAGTGTCTGTCACCGTCTCTGCATTTCTGAGACCGCTCGCCCACAGCTGACTGGCCACTCCTCAAGAACATTTGACCAAGTTAAAGCAACTTATCTTTACTTAAAAAGGAAAGTTAGTGTTTTCCAAACTGGTAACTCAATTTAAATGAAATTGTGATGTAAGCTAGTACTTGCCAACTTGAACCTGAATAAAAACTACTTCAGATTGTATTGAAGATCAGCCCCAAAAGTGCCAGCTTAGGAACCTGTATTACCTGTGGAGGCCAGGTAACAGTGGCACGTGGTAACCTGGTAGCCAGTTAAAGTTCAAGTCCTGTAACGGAGTCCTGCCCCTGGTGCCTGGAACTCTGTGTGGCCGGCTCCTTTCCAGTGGTTTTCTGACAGGTGTACGGCTCTGCAGCCAGTCCTGTCGGCAGATGAGGCTTAGGTTCAGACAGTTTGAATTAGGAGACAGAAGAGAGAATAATTGTCTAAAAGAAGAAAAATTACTTCAACCGAAATGAATTCTCTTGGAAAGGGTTCCCACACGTGTCCCCACACGTGTCCGCGTCTGGAACAGGCCAGAGTGGGGTAGAGAGTCAGGCGGGAAGCCGTAGGAGCGGGGCTGCAAGGTCTGGGGGCCTGGGGCGCCGGAGCGTGGCCACCCGCAGTGAGCCCCACTCCGCCTCGTCTAGGACGCGTCCAAGCCCCTGGAGGTGCTGCTGCTGGAGAAGAACCGCTCGCTGCAGTCTGAGAACGCCGCACTGCGCATCTCCAACAGCGACCTGAGCGGTAGGTTGACAGGGTCTCGCGTGCCATGCTCGGCCCCTTCCAGGGGTCGAGGAAGAGGAAGGTGAACCGTGAGTCTGGGCCAATGCATGACGGGAACATCACCGGTTGATGAGAACCTTGACTAATAAGTGTTTGGTCTCCTCCTCGTCCTCACTGCTCCTCTCCCTCCCTCCCCACCTGCTTAAAGACGGTCACGGTGAGAGCTGTGGCTGCGGAGTGTCTGCGGCGGTCAGTCAGAGCCAGTGTTGTAGGAGGTGGCAGGAGGGACACTCGGAGGATGTTGGCTTTCTGATCTTTTCCTAGTCGTGCGGCCTCTCTCTCGTGGTGTGTTCGGGGGCTGCTGCCAGGGTTGGCCCTGCCCTTCCAGGCTCAGTGGAGCTTTTCTTCCTTTGTCAGGTTTTCCTTGGGAACGCCTCCCCCATCCTTAGCCTTTCTTTGCTCATCCCAAAGTGGTGGCGTCACTGACTGCTTCTGGTTTTGGCAGCTGGTAAACAGTTTAAAAGTGTCTCGGTCTCCGATGATATTTCATTCTTAAAATGTGCGTGCCTTCGATCGAGTGGACTCGGTGCAGTGCATTCATTCGCCTCAGAGCAAGTGGTGTGAGAGAATCCGTTGGTCCCAAAATGTCAGTGTTTGCTGCTCCTCAGGTGGGGCCCTCCTGGTAATAGCTCGAATGCCAGAGGCCTGATCAGAGGCCTGCGACTTGTCGACTCTTTACTGTGTGTGGTACCGGCTCCTTGTCACTTTAGGAGTTTGAATCTATGTCAAGGGGACTCTCCAGGCTGCAACGTACAAGAAAGGTGCAAACATGAAATGCATGTTGCTTGTTTCCGGGGGGCCTCGTTTGGCTGATTTAAAAATTCAATTGAAAAACAAACCAACACTCCTCATTGGCCCTTGTAAAATCTGCACTTTTTTTCCCTTTTGTGGGGCAAACTTTGCATTTTGGTCTTGGTTTTTTTTCCCTTTTGAATCCCCCATAATGCATTATGTTTGCCCTTCCTTGTAGGGTCAGCCAGGAGAAAAGGGAAAGACCAGCCTGAGAGTCGGCGTCCTGGACCTTTGCCGGCGCCCCCTCCTCAGTTGCCCCGCAACACGGGGGAGCAGGCTTCCAATACTAATGGTACACACCAGTTCTCACCAGCGGGGTTAACTCAAGACTTTTTCAGCTCATCCCTGGCAAGCCCCAGCCTACCCCTGGCTTCTACGGGAAAATTTGCACTAAACTCTCTCCTCCAACGACAGCTAATGCAGTCCTTCTACTCCAAGGCCATGCAGGAAGCAGGAAGCACAAGCATGATTTTTTCAACAGGTCCATACAGCACAAACTCCATATCATCCCAAAGCCCATTACAACAAAGCCCAGATGTAAATGGCATGGCCCCGTCTCCCAGCCAGTCAGAAAGTGCTGGGAGTGCCTCCGAGGGCGAGGAGATAGACACTGCAGAAATCGCCCGGCAGGTGAAAGAGCAGTTGATCAAGCACAATATCGGACAGCGCATTTTCGGACATTATGTCTTGGGACTGTCTCAAGGGTCCGTGAGCGAGATCCTGGCCCGGCCCAAGCCATGGAATAAACTGACCGTTCGTGGCAAGGAGCCTTTTCACAAGATGAAGCAGTTCCTCTCGGATGAGCAGAACATCTTGGCTCTTCGCAGCATCCAAGGCAGACAAAGAGGTGAGAGACTTTCGTGGGTTGGTGCCAGCCTGTCAGCCCGTCACTGAGTTGTGTGTGCGTGTCTGTGTGCGATGAAACATGTGCACATCACGTCAGGTAAAGCTCTCTTCGGTTCTACCATTTCTGGAGTTCAAGGGTCGACTGGCATGCACAAAAGCTGTTAGATTTGGGAGGTCTGGCCTCTGAAACCCGCTCAGCACCTCACACATAGTGAACTCAGTATCTCAGTACTGTGGGTTGAATTGAGGGAACTCCATTACGTACAATATCCTGTCATGTTTAGTGTCCAGTGGTCCGACTGGCCCTGGCCCCCACATGAGGAGGAGTCCCTAGGTGCCGTCCAGCCCTAGAGCAGCAGCAGCACCGGGGTCGGTCCTCGCATGGGGCTGATTCCCTGGGGGGAGTGTGTCCTGTGGTCAGCTCCCTCCCAGTGCTTATGTTCCGCTAGTGATGTGTTTAGTGTCGTAAGCAAAACATACCTGCCTTGAGCTCAGAACATGAAAGTTTTGTTAAAACACCCTTCCTACCCCACCCTCCATAAAAAGGTAAAAGGTCAGCATGGCCCCTAATTGAAAGAGTTCCTTCCCTCCCTGACGACAGGGGATCATTCTGCCAAATCAGCAGTGATAGGGAGAGGCAATCTTGTCAGGCGCATGTGGAAAACCTTGAAGTGCAGCCTCAAAACAAACAGAAGGGAGACGGTTGAACAACAACATCAATTTGCACAAAGCACATCGAGCTTTTTATGGCGATGTTAACTGAAATTGACTGTCTTTGGATGATTAATGTGAGCTTTGTCCCGGGGGCTGGTGGGCGATTTGCTTAGTGGCAGGGCTCCCTCCATCTGCCCCTGGTGGCGTTGGTGCCGCAGGCCGCAGGTCTGTCTGATCACCTTTTGCAGCAGAGCCACGGCCTCTGAGGCCAGCCAGCCAGGGAAGGGCCTCTCAGAACCTTCCAGTAGCTCCCAAGTTGCACAGGAAGCCCTGAGCCCTCTCAGTAGTGACAGGTGGCTCAGATTTCATGTCACGCAGCCCATATCGTCAACACCACCATCCCCCTGATTGTTTTGTTCTTACCACACTTGTTTTTCAACAGAGAATCCAGGCCAGAGCCTGAACAGACTATTTCAGGAAGTACCGAAACGAAGAAATGGGTCTGAAGGTATGTCGCAGGCAGGTGTTTTTCTTTGCAGTTAGTAACCTAGGAAGCAGCATGTCCTTAGCTGTGTATTTGGGTTAAAACTGTGCAGTGTGATTCTGGCCTGGAACCTGATGGAAAAACAGAGCTAGTAAGTATAAAACAAAGCACGGGTTCAAGTACGCAAGGCCTCTTCCTCCCGAGCTGCTTGCACTGTACCGAGTGCAGAAGCGGTGAGAAGTGGGCTCCACCACTAAGAAATAGTGCCCAAGTCTGAGTCCCAGCCTCTGTAGATTCCAGTTGTGCCTGTCCCCTTTTCTCAGGAGCAGGCGAGAGAATAACAGTTGCTACTCTGAGAAAAATCAGGTGACTGAGTCCGATGAGATACTGCTGCTTCCTTGTACTTTCTTTTAACTCTGAAATGCGTGGAAGGTGCTGCGAAGTGGACAGATGCCCATCACAGTCAGCATCCTGTGGGCCCCAGCCCGCCAGCCCCGGCTGCACTCCCTAGAGCTGCATCTTTAATGGGGCCTGGTCCCAGTGGCGTGTGGGTTTTAAATGGTTTGGTGCGGCGGTTCCTATTTTAGTAAGGCAGTGAAGGATTAAAATGTGGACGGCTTCCAAAAAGAACTGGGGCCAGCCCCCGGGCCATAGTAGCTTCAGTGCATCTGTACTTGTGGCTACTCTGCAAAGCATCACCATGTGACCAAAAGACTGAATTCTCATCCTTTAGGGATTTCTCTCCTCGTTTGTAAATTTTTAAAAGACAATACATGATAACAGATTGAAAATTTTAAGTTAAGCCTTCAGCCTCTTCACCTTGTACATCCAAATGATTGACAGGTAACCAGCCTCAACCCTTCTTTCCCACTTTCCCTTTTGAGATGCCAGCCTCAAACACACGTGTAGACCCTTGAACATAGCCCCACGCCAAAGCAGTTGTTGGAGTTGCTTTTAAATGACTTGTGAAAACCATTGCGCTTTTTTCCTTCATCTTTTTTTTATGCCAGATTAAATGATTTGCTCTCCCTGGTCCCAACCCGTGGGTGTCCAGCTTGGGTAAATGTGAGAGCTCGTCCCACTGGCCGAGTAGCATCTAGTGGCAGGCAGATTCCGCAGGAAGCCCTTCCTGCTCGGGGTCACGGTACCTGCTGTGAAGTTGCACGCACAGCAGGTACAGGTAATGGGAGGCCGCGCCTGCCTCCTCCCTGTCACTGCCTCCACTCTGGTGAGAGCTATTTATCTATCAGAGTGACCTCTTCGTGCAGCGCTGTTTCCTGCCCGAGGTGTGGGTGTGATGTCATTGGCGTGGCTTCTCCTTGCAGGTAACATCACCACCCGGATCCGCGCCTCAGAGACTGGGTCCGACGAAGCGATCAAGTCCATCCTGGAGCAAGCCAAACGGGAGCTGCAGGTGCAGAAAACCGGTACGGGTTCCTCTCCTTCAACCGCTGCTTCCCGGACTTAATTAGAATGTTGTCATGGGTGTTTGGGTCAGCAGTAGTTAACTTTTTATTTAAAAAAAATAGAATGTACATTTTCCAGCATTTAAGCAAGTGCAGAAGGGATTGGTCTGTGTAACATGCATTTTGCTAAGAGTTACCATTCTTTCCATGATGTCATTCTCCACCACTGACTCATGAATACATCCATGGCCTAGGGTGTTCCTGACTTACATTAACTGGTAGTTTGAATCAAATTTCTTCTTTAAATGCAATATAGCCTTTTGTTATTTGGATATATACCCAACCAAACACTACTGAAAAAGAATAAATTCTTAATAGTTGCTTTATGGAACGAGTGTTGCTATGGAGGAGCGGGAAGTTTTGAAGGATAGGTGTCCACGTCTGTGGTTCATCCACCTCGGGAGTCGGCCCCGGAGCTCTCTGAGAGCTGCCTCCTCTAAAAGGGGAGAACTCCCACTTTTTGGCGATTCTGTGGTTAAGCTTTGCGCCACGCCATAGACTCAGCTCAGACCTACTGGAGAGGAAACCGCGTGCCCGAGTCCTCTTCCCAGGGTTCCGCACACACCTGCCCTGTGCCCGGGAAGCCCTGCTCTGCAGAGCCCCTCTGTGAAGCCAGTCACAGTGCTCCTGCCACCCCTGCCCTTAGGGAGCTATGGCAGCTGAGGGTGGGCCACCTCCTTGGTCACTGGATGCTCTCCCCAGGCTGCCGGCTCCCACGCGGCTTGTTCAGTGGGTGAGCTCAGTGCTTGCTGCTGTGGGGCAGGCCTGGGCTGGGCGTTTTCACCTCCCTTCCTTAAACTAGCTCTTCAAACTGGTTCCTCACCACAACCCTGGACGATAGATTTGTTATCCTATTATCCCTGGTTAATGTGCTGAAAGTTAGAATAATTTGCCCAAACTCACTAACTGGTGTACCCTAAAGGGGACCCTGATCTCCCAACTCTCATCCCAGCACTTTCCCTCTGTTGCCATCTGCCTCCTTCCAGAGACTCGGGGGTCGGGAACGATTCTTTGTGGTGTCTCACCTGGCGATGAATGGAGCCTTCATTTTGGCGTGGTTCTCACCCTCAAGGCCAGAGTTGAAGTTTAAGCCCTCAACTCTGGGTAGCTGAACAAACAGAAAGCTTGCCAGGGTAGCCGACACCCCAAGTTGGGAGTGGAGAGGCCCACCTCCAGGTGTCGCTCCAGGGCTCGCCTCTCCCCTCCCGGGTGCGGTTTCTGCTGCAGAGCGCGGGTGCTGCTTGCCCCTGAGGAGGCTGTGGGAGTCACGTGGGCTGGCCGAGGGAGGCTTCCTGTTAACCAGTAAAGTCGGGTCCTACAGAGGCATTAAAGATCATTGTTGTTTGAGGCATTTGTCAGCCTCATTTGAAGGAGAAGAGCCAGCTTGTATGATTTCCTCCCCCAGATGTGAAGGCATATTGCATAGCTGACACACCTGGAGGGAGCATTTAGCCCAGCACCTCTCCACCAAGGCCTCCCTCCACAGTTACCTGGGAGCTGGTTGAAAATGCAGGTGCTGGTCCAGACCCACACTGGCTTCTCTGTCGGACACTCCAGGGCTGGGGCCTGGGCATGTGCATCTTAACAAGCCCAGCAGGTGATTCTAGTGCACAGCCCTAGTTAAGAATCTTTCACCTCATCCATCATCCACCCCTAGTTTGCAGATGGAGATCCTGAGGCCCAGCCATGCTTTCAACTCCCCCGGGGGTCACAGCCCTGGGACCCTGTCCATTGCCCTTTATTGCGGGGCTCAGGGTTACTGGCCACACGACAGTCACACACCCAGAAGGCAACCTGCAACTTACACTGGGAGACTGGTCTCTCACCACCACTGTTAACAGAAATTACATTTCCAAAACTTGACAAAACCACTGGAACTTTGGAAGATAATACACAAGGATATTGTTTAAAAATTGTCAGGGAGAGGAAGTCCAGAATGGGTATCACTGAACATACTCCCTCCCTCTTATCACGCTCCCTGACAGTGAGTCTTCTCGGTTCGTGAGAGAGGCGGGCTGGGTGGGGGTCGCCAAGCAGTAGGGTTAGCTCTTCCTCACTGCACGGACTAGACGCACGAATGTCTCACTGTGGGGACGTGTGGGACGAGAGAGCTGTGCAGTCCTCCCCGGTGTTCCGCATTTCAGGGTAGGCCAAGTTAGGAAGAAGTGGGGTGACAGAAGCATGTCCCCGCCACAGGTGGCAGCCCCACCACGTCTAACCTCTGTGTTTGCTCCGTGCAGCAGAGCCGGCCCAGCCTTCCTCCACGTCCAGCAGCGGGAGCTCTGACGACGCCATCCGTTCTATCCTCCAGCAAGCCCGCCGAGAGATGGAGGCCCAGCAAGCCGCCCTCGACCCCGCCTTAAAACAAGCACCACTGTCACAGACTGACATCACCATCCTGACCCCCAAGTTAATTTCCACCTCGCCCATGTCCTCGGTGTCCAGCTACTCTCCTCTAGCCATTTCTTTGAAGAAGCCCCCCTCTGCCCCTGATTCCAACACCTCGGCTCTACCCAACCCCCCGGCCCTCAAAAAGGAGTCCCAGGACACACCTGGGCTGGACCTCCAGGGGGCGGCCGACGCTGCACAGGGCGTCCTCCGACACGTGAAGAACGAGCTGGGCCGCAGCGGCGGGTGGAAGGACCACTGGTGGAGCACAGTGCAGCCGGAGAGAAAGAGCAGCGCTGCTTCCGAGGAGACTAAGGTTGAGGAAGCCGGCGGCGGGAAAGAGAAAGGCGGTGGCAGCGGCAGCGGCAGCCAGGCGCGGGCGGACCGCGGCCAGCTCCAGGGACCCCCCTCCTCCGAGTACTGGAAAGAGTGGCCCAGCGCGGAGTCCCCGTACTCCCAGAGCTCGGAGCTGAGCCTCACCGGAGCCAGCCGCAGCGAGACGCCCCAGAACAGCCCTCTGCCCTCCTCCCCGATCGTGCCCCTGGCCAAGCCCGCCAAGCCCTCCGTGCCCCCACTGACGCCCGAGCAGTATGAGATCTACATGTACCAGGAGGTGGACACCATTGAGCTCACCCGGCAGGTGAAAGAGAAGCTGGCCAAGAATGGCATTTGTCAAAGGATCTTCGGGGAGAAGGTGAGGGGTTGGGGGCTTGGGTTTTCTTATCTCTCTTCATTGCTTAGCAATTAGTACCTGCAGGACATTGCCATGACCCATGAATTAAGCGACCACAGAGCATAGTGGGCTGTCGCTCCCAAACATCTGGGAAGGCTGGCTGGTGGATGTTTTCATTTGTTGCATCCAAGTCAGGGACCAGGTTCCGGGCCAGACCTCCTCACCCACTGTGCTCCTTCAGACCACTCAGTGACACTGCGAGGGGGCCGGTAAAGTTGCCCTTTGACAGCTAAGGAAAGTAGGGCTCAGGGAAGTTAACTAAGTGCCCGAGCTGGTGGGCAACTGAACACTAGTCCCACCTCTGCTGTCCAGTGCAGCCCAGAGGCCCCTCTGCAGGCTGTGGTGGCCAAAACAAGATCTGATCCCAATGTGCAGAGAACACGAAGGCCATGTAAAGAATAACTGTACCTTTCTCATTATTCACTAGGCGCTTGGGTGTTATCCAGCCGAAGGTGAAGTGGCTGGCCCAGGAATGCACGGCCAGAGGTGGCCAAAACCCTGAAAGCCCTTGTGTCCATGCCGTCCTTCCCTGGTTCCCAGCAGTGCGTGGATGAGCCCCCAGGCCCTTTCTGTTCTTGCCACTTCCTGGTAACGAGATTCTGGATCATGGGAATTCACCAGGCCTATAAAATACAACATGACCAGGATGCCCCAGGATCGTTTTAAGTAATGGGTGCTGAGCCTAATGAGAAGTGCTCCATTCCCTTAAAAGGCAGCCACCCTGAGAGGCACATGGCTGGGGCAGCAGTGGCCCCCAAGGGGGCTGCCTGCCTAGCTCTTACCCCCCCGCCCCACTGTCCTGCCTCCAGGTCACCATTTGCAGTGTTCAGTGCTGTGAACCCTTGCAATATCTGACTGTGATCTCTTCGTCCTGGTTTTGCAAAAGGTGATGGGAGGAATAGAAATGAGGATGAGAATTTCAAGTCCCTTGAAATTTCTAGTTCAGTGTTGTAAAAATATCATTTGAGAACATTTAAATAGACATTTGTGCTCATGCCTTAAATTTAGCAGACTTAATAGTGTTGAACTTGTTTGGCCCGTGAGTGCAGTTTATTCTGGAACTTGAGAACTTTTCAAAGAGTGATCGGATGCAGCCCCTAAATATCTCTGGGCTGCATCTGTGTCCTGTGGGGGGTGTTTGTGCCCATACATATGTATGGCCATATGTGAGCATAAGAAAACTCAGGAATGTATGTGCAACTTGTCCACCGTCTGCAGTGAGTTTTACTCCCCGGCTGGCTCCCCCGTTGCCACCAGCTCACCTCTGGGCCGGGCCCCCACCATAGAGCAGGATGTGATCAGAGAGAACGAATCTTTCTAAATGCCACCTTGGCACAGCACCAGTAAAGGAGACTGGCTTCCAGCATCCCGCCAGCATCCACCGCCTCTGCCTCTAAAGGGGTCCTTGGCTCCAGCACCTCAGCCTTTCCTGGCGCCACCAGGCAAAGAGCAAGATGGTTTCAGTGTTTCCTCCTCGGTTGTCAAGACGACAACCCTGCAGCCCTGGCAGGATGGGGACCCCACCCCTCTCCCAACCTGCCTCTCCCAGGGAGCTGAAAGCAGTGACTATGAGTATGGCTCTCGGTGCCCGGGCAGCAGCCCACCAGTGACCTTGAAAAGCTTGTTCACCCGCCCCAGGCTGCCACTGACCTTCAGGCAGTGGTTCTCTGCTCCGCCAGAAGCCCTCCCTGCGTTTCCTCAGACTCTCACACCTCCCGCACTTTTCTTACATATCACTAAAACGTTTCTGCAGCCTCCCACTCAGCACTGGGTGCTGATGCAGAGGTCTTTGTCTGCCACCCCAGGTGCTGGGCCTGTCCCAGGGCAGTGTCAGTGACATGCTGTCTCGGCCGAAGCCATGGAGCAAGCTGACGCAGAAAGGCCGTGAACCCTTCATCCGGATGCAGCTCTGGCTGAACGGCGAGCTGGGCCAGGGCGTCCTGCCGGTCCAAGGGCAGCAGCAGGGCCCAGGTGAGGGCGGCCCCAGGCTGCCGCAGGCGCAGAGGAGGGGCACCTGTGCTGGGAGGTGGGCGGCCCCACAGCACTGGAGGCAGAGAACTGTCTCTCTTCCTCCACCACCTGTTGCCATGGGGCCACCTTTAGTTTTTAGGAGCAAGAAGATTGTGCCTAGCTAATTTTATAAGCAGCAGAAAATGAGTTACCAATTAAGAAAACGCTGTTTATACATAAATATAGGTTAAAGTCAAGTAGCTAAATCAGGGAATCAGGAAAGAAAATCAGCCACAGGCACAGAGGTGAAACATCATAGCTTCCGCCTGTTCCCCCAGCAGCACTCTGCCTGCCCACGTGGACCCCGTGTTCTGGCCCCTCCCCATTACCAGCGGGGAATCCTCCCTCAGGCCTTTGGGACCTTATGCTGTCCCCCCTCGCTACACTTAGTGTATTAGGAAGCTTTAAACCCTTGGGGTTTTTTTCCTGATTTAATTGTACTCCTTTTTCTTGTTTAGTCCTCCATTCGGTGACGTCACTACAGGACCCCCTGCAGCAGGGCTGTGTGAGCTCAGGTAACTAGCCGGTTCCTCTTGTTTTTTATGAAATGCCACGTATGTTTCCCTGTCCTCTGGTCTGCAGCGGAGAGACTCAAAGGATCCCTTGTTCCATATCAGGGAGCTGAAACCATGCTGTCCTGTTGGCAAACTGCTTTCCTTGTGCTTGTATTTCCTGACAGGGAGAGAGGTCGACAGCTGAGTGCGGAGTTCCTCCAGCGTTGACTTGCTTCTCGCTACATTCGTTCATCAGTCTGTCGGCCTCTAGATATGAAGCCCTGTATTCAGAACTGAGGGCTATGGTTCGAGTCCGGGACGGATTCTGTACTCGGGTCTTCCATTAATAGGAGGGCACAAGGCATGGTCAGGGTAGGGGCAGCCGAGTTCCTCTGGAAGACCCTGGGCTGCCTTCACGCAAGAGGGAAATGAAGGCAGGTGGAGCCGTAGCTCAGTAACTGGACGGATAGAGTCAGGGACACTCAGCAGAGTGAGGCTGAGCCTGGGGGGTCCAGCCTGGGAGTAGTTGATAGAGGGCGTGGAATGTGGGCAGAGACAGCATCTGAGAACTCCAAGGTCCTTGAGGTGGCACTGGTGCCCGTAGGGCCCCCTAACTGTAGCACTTGGGTGCAGCCAGCCGGGCTGGTTCACATGCCCACGCTCCACTCCTAGACCCCTTTCCATGTCCTGCCGGGGCTCCCACACGGGCAGAGCTCTTCTCACCCAGCTTTCAGGAACAGCCAGCATCACGAGCTGTTCTCTTTTTTTGTTTCTTTATTTTTCTAAACATCTTGATTAGTCTCCATATCCCATTGATTCATCGAAAACACAAACAAAGCTAAGTGAGGAGCGCAAAGCCTGCCAGCCTGCTGGAAGTTTTACGAGGGAAAACATGTGTAGTGAGGGAACAGCTGGGCGGCGGCCGCTACTGCTGCAAGATGCCAAGCCCACGCACAGATGCAGCCAGAGCGTGTCAGTTGCAGCGAAGTTCTTGGTTGGGCTTTTTTTGTTTCGGGTGTCCCATTCTGATTCAGGCCGGAATGGGGGTTGGAAGGCTGTGTGTTGCCCAAGCTGTAGGTGTGTTGGCTGCACATCTAAATGGAGTGGTTGGCCGTCTGAGGAAGGCTCAGGTGGACTCCCTTCTCCCTTCTTCTGGGCTGGCCGATTTGATTAGCAAGTGCTGGAGAACTTGGGCAGTACTGGCCCACATTCAAAAGTCAGCTGGGAACATACTGGGCGCCGTTGTTTGTACTCGAGGTTTGCAGGCGTTTGCGTGGAAAATCCACCTGGCCTCTCGCTCTCACAGAACACTGGCCGCCTCTTCAACTCCCAGAGACCGTTTGCTGCCCCATCAGAGTCGGAGCCAAATTTGGCAGAATGTGACTAATGTTTCTTAAATCCAAACCCCTTGTTCCCAAATAAAACGGGAAGGCCCCTGCAGTTCCAGGTCAGTTAACAATCGATGCCAAAACCTTCTCCATGTCCGGACAGACTGGTAAAGAACAGCATTTTGCTTTTTACTGTGTGGCGGCTGATCGCCGCCACCACTTGGGAACACGCCCACAACAGTCACACTCCCGACCTTAGGAAAGCACACAGGCTCCTGGGGGGATGCAAGCGATATCTGTAGGGTATCAAATTACTTTATAAAATGAAGTGACGTAACACTCTCGGGGAGTCTGCAGGCTGGAGAAGGGAGGAGGGCGGAGGCAGCGAGCCCCTGGGTGGCAGTGAGCCCTGCAGAGCTTCCTGGTGGCTTCTGTGGACAGAGCCTTCCCCGCAGACCCGGGTGGAGTGCAGACCGCTCACCTGGCGCACCCCTTTGGTGGTGGGTGGGAGGGAAGTCGTCAGTCGAAGCAGTAACCGTGGGGCCTGGAGAAATGTGAAAATATTTCTATATCCTATGAAAATACAGACTTTTAAGTATCTTCATGGTAGCTAGGGAGAATTTTGTCTGGATTAAAAAAGTCTAGAAAATGCTTCAAAATGGAATGAAAGAAAGATTATCGCACGATGGCAAGATTGTGGCTGGTAGTTTTCCTTGTGTGAAGTGTCTTTACTGTCAGTGTTCTCCTTTCAGGAGTGTTTCTAAAAATTAAAGCAGCTGTGCTTTTCAGCAGGTGGAATTTAGATTCAAAAATAGAATTTTAACGATGATAACTCATTGGGATGAATGACTGTAAGAGACTCCAGAACCTTCCTTGACAACTTAAAAAACAGTGTCTCTGAGGAAGCATCAGCACTGCTCCCCCAAAAGCAGGGGAGTAAAGCCTCTGGTCCTAGGATTTCGCCAGGATTCTGAGTCCCTGTTCTCACCATGGCTACCTCGGAATCCTTCCAAGAAGCCCCCGGCCCCAGAAGGGGGCTGTGTCCTTGGCAGTGGCTCCATGAGACCTCTGCCCCGAGGCAGCTCGGTTCAGGAAGGTGATTCCAGCGCTGGGTTGGTTCGGTCCTGAATGTTGGTGAGAAACACGCGTGTCTGAGAATCCAGGCCATTGGACTGGCCTGGAGGTCAGTTTAGACTCCCAGGTGTAGAAGGACTTTGGAAGACTTGCCTTCTGTCCATTGCCTTTCAGTAAGAGCTACAGATTTGTTGCTGAGATGGTGTGGACCTAATGGGCTCGGTGCTTGGTTACCATGGCGATAAGGTGCCCCAGGAGTGGAATGGCCTCACTCATCTAAACGGCAAACTGCTGACACAAGAATCTATTTTCCTCACTAAAGAATTCCTGTCTGGCTCTTTCTGCCCAACTCTGTTGCCCTCGGCGTCTCCATTTTCCTTAATGATTTGTATGTCAAACTTGCTGATCAGTTTTACGATAAGGAGAGAGAAATGAAACTGAAGTTTCGATTGCATCATTTTTTTCTTCTTGGTGGATATAACCGTTTCCGAATGCCCCTCTAATGATCTGAGCATTGGGGTGATGGCCTTGGGCATTAAGGAAAGTTAGTGCCATTTTCAGCTAGTGACCTGTGCTTTTTCTTGGAAGCTGTTGTGGCCTTGGAGAATAAGGACCGTGAAGGGTTCTGTGCCAATCATATGAGTAACTTTTTTCTTAAAGTTTTTAAAGGACAGAACTTCAGATCAGCTAGCTCTTCGTATATATCCTGGTAGTCCAGTTTTCTACAAACATTTTTATGCTGGCTGCTTTCAAATTCCCAGTGTCCAGTGTTGGGGTGGGAGTGGTCAGTGGTTATAGACAGGGTCTCTTTGATCTAACAGGGCAAACCTACCTGAAGGTGGAGTCACAGCCAGCCCTTTGGGGATCGGTTCTCTAAGTCTCCCTCTTGTTTGCCTTCCACCCCAGGCATCACCCCTCCCTGTGTTTCCTGAGCACTGCTCAGCAATAGCAATGCCTGGAGGTAGCGCAGGAAGCACTTACACAGGAGAGGGAGGGGCCTAGCAAGGCTTGTGTTCTCTGAGTGTGGCCTGCAGTTATTGCTTACCAGTTAGTGGCGTTTTTAAAGGGAAGAAAACCTTGAGCTATAATGAAGGGATGGGTGGGTGTGTTTGTGGGTAGGTACATAGGTAAGTAGATATGATCTAGTAAACCACTGGATTTTTTTTTCCTTTTTATTCCTTAAAGCTCATTTCATATTCATAGTTCCTTGGTGTGATTAATCTTTTTGCCTCTAGGGAAGGAAGAAGACAAGAGACAACTCTAAAGGGGGGTTGGGGGGAGGAACAGAGTTTGCTGGCTGCCACCTCCGTTGTTACAGACAGAAATCTGATAGAGGAGCTGCCCGGTGTGCTCAGCTCTGCCACTTTCTCACGTGGGAGCCTTCCATTACTGCAGCCAACAAGTGTGCACCCCAGCTTCCGGTGCATCATTGCAAGCTGTACACGCAAAAGAATAGCCCCTTCTCCTCAGAGTGGTCATCAGATGGCCGGCTTTTTCCCAGCTTGTCATTCAGGAACTGCAGGTTCCAAGTCTCCTCCGCCCTTGGAGAACTCCCTGTTGTTATTGCTAATCCACGGAGTGTCAGCTGCCTCCGGAGAAGGCAGCTGCTGCAGTCCCTCTAATGCGGTGGTCCCACGTGCGCCCCTCCCTGACGTGTGACCACAGGGCTGTGTGCCGTGCAGGCCTCACAGGGGAAGTTCTAGTGGCCACAGCCCCTCCCTGCGAGGGACAGGCCAGTGCTCCTCTCGCTGCGCGCCGTGGCTCTTGCCCTGTGCTGCCGACAGGACCCGGGAGATGTGCCCAGGGTTTTGGTGCTCTGAATTCTGCGTTCGGGTTTGACTCAGCCTCCTTGAATAAGCAGTTAGTTCCTTGATTTCAGGGACTAAATCAGGGTGGGGCATTTGGGTGCCTTACTAGGAAATAGAGGGGCCAGTGCACCCCTAGAAAATTCCACAGCACTTTCTAAAGCAAGCAAAACCCTATTCAATGCCTTAGACTAGCTTTCATCCGAATAAATCAGTGAAAGTAACTATTGGTTGTTTCCGAAAAGAATTACCCAAACCTTTGTTTATTTTGAATAGTAGAAAAGGTTTGGATGTAACTGACGTACACGTAGCTGTAGACAGCAGAGGACAGAAACAGGAAAAAAAAAAAAAAAAAAAACAGGAAAGTGCATGTGAACTAGACAGGGGCCCTCCCTAAGCAACCGCCGCTGCTCGCTGTTCGGACGGGGGTTCAGCCTTCTGCACCCACTGAATATGGTGGCCAGGAGAACTGAGTCACCTCATCATTCCTTCTTACTTAGTTGTAACCTGCACTAGGGCTTTTTTCATCAAGAGTGCCATAATAAGGGGATCTTCTACTCTGGGGTCAGAAAGGACGGGTTTGTGGATTCAGACACAACCTACCTTCCTGTTGTCTATTGTCGAGTATGCGTCGCCACTGCTCTGCAGGTGGGCCCCTCGGCACTAAAGGCGCCCCAAGGAGAGGGCCAAGGGCAGGGGCGCAACGTGGAGGGCAGAGGAGTCAGGAGGAAGGGGGTCGTTCTACAAGGAGAGCTCTGCAGATACAAAGTTCGCCAACAGGGAACTGTTGAAAAAGGTAAAAACATTAGAAGCC